CTCAGAGAGAATCATGTATCGAAGTACATTAATAGTTCCGATATGTAGAACATAACTTGATAGTTATTTGAAAATTTTTGTAGTTTTGATCTTTACATTCCAATTTATCTGTCAGTTGTATAGTGTCTATCAAGCAGTTTATACATTTTAATTAAATTTTTTTTTCTATAATAACAAGGTTTCATGATAGTTATTTATTAATAATCTTAAATAAAAATATACACTTTTTCGATCTGTAGACATCAGTTTCATTAATAATGATTACTTCGCAAAATTCATTCAATTATTTTTTTTATGAATTAAAATCAATAAACTTTAGTTCAAAGTTCAATGCTATTCTTTGTTATTTACATATAATCAGATACTAAAGTAAACTCTCATGTATTTGTTAAGATTCAGGGATTACTTGATATAAAAAACAAATAGACACTGTCAAAATGCTTCGAAACCATTGACTAGTTGATATAATTTAACATTTAGATTCATAAGGTTTCACTTGAATTTTCTGGAATATCCTAGTCTTATCTTTGAAGAATTGTTTATATTATAGATGTCACTGCATGATACCAATCTTGAATTTTATTAGTATTTTTAGAGAATAAAATAGAATATTTTTCAAAATACTAATTCAAAAAGCGTATTTCTATACTTTTCTAGAATTATTCATTTGATAGGTTACTGCATTAAGGTGACATCTTTAATCATGTTTTGCTGGACCAATCATATTCAGACAACATATTCATCCATCATCCATGAGAGAAACGTACGTGTACTTCAGTTAAACGATTTGTATCACAAATAAATACGACTGATTTTCTTCGTTAGTCTCATTCGATATTAAACAATACTCTCGATAAACATGAAGATAATTATTGCTCTTTTACTCATCGCTACTACTGCTTTCAATTTTTCTTTGGCCGCTGACGAAGGCAAAAAAGGTGAGTCTTTAATTCATAGGAAATCATATCTATTAGATTTTCATTAACCAGATGTTGGAACTGTAATCGGAATTGATCTTGGTACAACATATTCATGTGTTGGTATTTTCAAAAATGGACGTGTAGAAATTATTGCTAATGATCAAGGTAATCGAATTACACCATCTTACGTTGCATTCACAGCCGATGGTGAACGATTAATTGGTGATGCAGCTAAAAATCAATTGACATCAAATCCAGAAAGTAAGTTTTTCTTTTTTTTGATTGTATGTAATATCGTTCATGTGTATTTTTTTTGTCAGATACTGTATTTGATGCTAAACGACTTATTGGTCGAGAATTTAGTGATCCCACTGTTCAACAAGATATTAAACACTTTCCATTTAAAGTTGTGGAAAAAAATTCAAAACCAACTATTCAAATAAGTACTGGTAAAGAACAGAAACTTTTTACGCCAGAAGAAATTTCTGCTATGGTACTTGGAAAAATGCGTGAAATAGCTGTAAGTTTATCTCCTTTTTGTTTATTTCAAACTATTTCTCTCTTTAATAGGAAGCTTATCTTGGTAAAAAAGTTACTCATGCTGTCGTTACTGTTCCTGCTTATTTCAATGACGCTCAACGTCAAGCAACAAAAGATGCTGGAACAATTTCTGGTTTGAATGTAATGCGTATTATTAATGAACCAACTGCTGCAGCCATCGCTTATGGTTTAGATAAAAAAGAAGGCGAAAAAAATATTCTTGTCTTTGATTTGGGTGGTGGTACATTTGATGTATCATTATTAACAATTGATAATGGTGTATTTGAAGTTGTTGCTACAAACGGTGATACACATTTAGGTGGTGAAGATTTTGATCAACGTGTTATGGACCATTTTATTAAATTATTTAAAAAGAAAACTGGTAAAGATGTACGAAAAGATAATCGGGCTGTACAGAAACTTCGTCGTGAAGTTGAAAAAGCGAAACGTACATTATCATCACAACATCAAACAAAAATTGAAATTGAATCATTCTTTGATAATGAAGATTTTAGTGAAACATTAACACGTGCTAAATTTGAAGAATTAAATATGGATTTATTTCGTTCAACAATGAAACCCGTACAAAAAGTTTTAGAAGATTCTGATTTAAAAAAAACTGATATAGCTGAAGTTGTTCTTGTTGGTGGTTCAACACGTATTCCAAAAGTTCAACAATTAGTTAAAGAATTTTTCGATGGTAAAGAACCATCACGTGGTATTAATCCAGATGAAGCTGTTGGTAAGTTTGAATTTTCATTTGCTTTTTTTTCTTTTTACAATTGAATTAATCTTATTTTTGTAAAGCTTATGGTGCTGCTGTTCAAGCTGGTATTTTATCTGGTGAAGAAAATACTGGTGATATCGTTTTATTAGATGTCAATCCATTAACATTAGGTATTGAAACTGTTGGTGGTGTAATGACAAAAGTTATTCCACGTAATACAGTTATACCAACAAAAAAGAGTCAAGTTTTTTCAACAGCTGCTGATAATCAACCAACAGTTACAATTCAAGTATTTGAAGGTGAAAGACCAATGACAAAAGATAATCATGTATTAGGAAAATTTGATTTAACTGGAATACCACCAGCACCACGTGGTGTACCACAAATTGAAGTTACATTCGAAATTGATGTTAATGGAATATTAAAAGTAAGCTTCTTTTTTGTTTTTCTTTTTAGTAATTTCTTGAAAATATTTGTATTTAGGTTACAGCTGAAGATAAAGGAACAGGAAATAAAAATAATATTGTTATTAATTCAAATACAAATCGTTTATCACCAGAAGAAATTGATCGTATGATAAAAGATTCAGAAAAATTTGCTGATGAGGATAGAAAACTCAAAGAACGTGTTGATGCTAAAAATGATCTTGAATCGTAAGTTATTATCATTTTTGTTAATGAGAATATTTATTGATTCGAAAATTATTTTTTGTTTTTATAGATATTCTTATTCATTAAAAACACAATTAAATGATAAAGAAAAACTTGGAGGAAAATTATCAAGTGATGATAAAGAAAAAATTGAAAAAGCTGTTGAAGAACAAATTAAATGGTTAGAATCAAATCCAGCTGCTGATGTTGATGAATTAAAAGAACATAAAAAGGAATTAGAAGAAATTGTTTCACCTATTATCACGAAATTATATGGACAAGGTGGAGCTGGTGCTGGTGCTGACGGTTCTTCACCACCACCACCACATGGACATGATGATGATAGTTTGTAAAAGACCTAGTTTAGTCATAGGAAATCGTGGAGGTCAGATTTGTCTGTATTTATTCCCACTTATTGTTATTTTCATTCCACTATTCAAGTTTTAATATAAAAAACACAGGACTAATTATGCGTCAACATGCATGTTTCTTTCCTCCCCCTCATTTCTTTTACCTTTGTTGATTTTTTTTCCTAGTTCTTATTGTTAAACGTGTACGACATTGGTTTTTTGTTTTTCGTCGAAATATATTCGGGTGAAGAGAAGACGTTTTGTTTTTTTTTTCTACTTTTTATTCTTGGCATAATAAAAAAAAGATTGTAAAGAAGAATAAACGAATTGTTTTATAGATCGCAAAACGAGACTTATTCAATAATGGAAGTATACTAATATGAAAGATCTATAATTTCAAGGAGCTTAGCGTTCCAGAAGATAATAAGTATCAACGGCAGTTCTAATCGAATTCGTCTTTGAAAAATAATGAATACAATTCAATGCTAAAAGTGCTAGCGAAATTCTTTCAGGATTGAAATGCGAAGTACGATGCAGTTGCTGATGTTAATCACTAGAAATGCACCTATTCCAAACCCAATCAGATTCAATTTCAACTCTTTGTTTGGATTTGATGTATCGCTAATAATCACAGTGACATTGTTTTATTCTATCTAGTTTAAACACATTTCTTCACCATCCTCTTACTTCATCTTTCAGAAATGCAAGAAAGTAGTTCATATATCAAAAGGAGATGTGACTGATATACGGTCCGTGGAAGAAGAATGACTATAAATTTTGATTCCTATATTTCGACACTCCTTTTAGATCATGTTTAACAAAATATAGTACAAAGCTCTTGTATGAACGACTAACTGATCTCGTTTTTCTAAAATTAGCTCGACAATAGCACAAATATGTATGTGTACAAATCGAAGAGAAGAATTCGAACCTAAGACAAAGAATCTGTATGTAAGAAGAGTGTTTTAACTTATATCCATACTAAACTAATCATATACTAAAGAAAAACAACTAAGTCATCAAGAGTCTGACCAATAACATTCAAACTACGAATTATATCTTGAAAAATATTTTTAAATGATTTTCTTAGAGAATTCATTGTATAATATTATACATTACTTATGACATTTAAAGAGAGTAGCTTGTCGATCTATTCTCTCAATTGAACAGTCATTGCCAAGATACTTACAGCAAGTTCACTAACATTACAGGACCACAATGACAATTTTTTTCATATTGATCCACATTATCAAAGAAGAATATGTTCAAAATTAGTAAATGCTTAGCAAGAAATATCCTTTGCAAAATTTTTCATAGTATCAAACAACACTTTTTCGAAAATTCTCTTTTCCAGATAGATATATTTATTCAATTATTTAATGATTCAAAGAAGAATTATAAAATATAAAAGATAGACGACAGTAAATAAATAGACAACCACCAAATGTACACATTCCCATATATTTGTGTACATTATTACGGGGCATATACACAAGACAACAAGAGAAAGAGAAAAAAATAAACTTGTGCGTGTATGATCTAATACGTCTAGTGGAAATTATGCCAAACAAAAGAAAAAAAAAGTTGCACGAAAAAGAAAGAAAAAAATCCGAAAGAGCCCACACAGCAGCAGCAATGACTAGAAGATAGGTGGTGTAATATAAATAAAATTAACTCGAAAAAATAAAAATAAAAATACACGCACAAAAGACAAAAACAACAGTAAAATGACTAGAATTTCATAGAGAGAAATGAAAGAAAGTAAGTGACCGAGGAAAAAAAAAGAAACGAAAAATTATGCAATTTATGATGTTTACATATCGGTTTCATTTGTTGTTGAACGATTAATAATTACTGTTTTATTATTAATATTATTATGTATCATTGATTTTTGTTGAGCATTTATCAATGATGAAGAATTGGATGATGATGATGATGATGATATGGAATTTAATTGAAATGGTGTTGGAGTTGGATTTCGTTTTGTTTCTATATGTGGTATTGGCATATGATCTGTTTTAACAACTGTTATTGTTGATGAAACATTATCATTTGTTGTTGATGGATTTGATGATATAGGTGTCATTGGTAATGGTTGTTTTAAATTTACAGCTAAGTCATCACGTAATGCACGTCGACCATCATTAGCATCATCTTTTGGTACTTCACCACGTTCTAAACAACGCCAATCAGGATTTTGAAATGAAAAATCTTTAAATTCATCTTGATTTATTGCTTTAACAATAACTGATTCAATTGGTGTAAATACAACAGGCATATTTGTAAAATCTTTATCAAAATTACTTGTATCTCGTGGGTTAACCTATTAAGAATTTGTCTTTTTCTTTATAATACATAAAAAGAAAAGAACAATTTCTTTAACATACCACTTTTGGTTTAAATGGTGGTTTAACTTGTCGACGTTCCAATGCTTCCCAATCAATTTTTCCAGCAAAAAATGCATGACGTTTAATTGCATCTTCACCACCTTGGGCTGCTACACAACCAAGACGTTTAGCTGGATTTTTTGTCATAAACTAAAATAAGAAAAAAGTATAATAAATTCAATTGAATAATTTTCGTTATTGAAATTTACTGATTTAAGAATATGTACGGCTTCTTTTGATAACCAAACAGGATAAAGTACTTCATCACGTAAAATAGATTCAAATAAACTATCTTCATCATCAGCTTCAAATGGTGGTTGTCCAGCCATCATTTCATACATTAATACTCCTAATGCCCACCAATCAACAGAAAATGAATAATCGAGTTCTTGAAGAATTTCAGGTGCAATATAATCTAATAATAATTATATATTTGAATAGATAACATAAAAAAAAAAGAAGAATAGATTCATACCAGGTGTACCACAAAATGTAGATGTTAATTTTCCATCAAATATACCTTCTTTACACATACCAAAGCTAAAATAAATATTAATTTTTGAATAGAAATGTTTTTGAATACATCAAAGTAGTTAGATTAGTTCACTGGGTGAAGAATAGATATTAGTTGGATTTACTGTTTTTAGTTTCTTTTCGATTTCACTCTCGAGTAGGGTTTCATTCGAATTTTTCTTTCTAGAGAAATAATTTGAAAGTTTGCTAGTGTGAATCCGATCTCGTGGAAGTCGTCACTTCTCTGTTTCACATATTAGAGAAAGTAGTGTTCTTAATCGGGTTCGTTTCTTAGCGATCCGAATGGATTAGTCATGAAGGAAATGGCTTATAAAATAGTCGGAATCTACACGACTTTGTATTTCAATTAAACAAAATAGATATATCAATCGTATTTGTTTTAACTAAATAATTACTTTCTTTTGTGAGAAAAACTCTACATTCCGATTCTATATATTAAAAAAACAATGAAAAACCTTTTTAAATCTTGAAACTTTTTAATATCAATACGACATAGAATTTACTATTATCAAAAAGTAGTTCGACTATTTAAGAATTAAATTGAGCAAGAAAAAATACTTGTATTATTAACAATAATCTCAATTCATTCATTGTAATTAATACATTTTAACCCCGTGAAGATAAATAACCTCGATCTGTTTTTTTTTGTAATCGAAAATAACAACACTCTTTCAAAAGCAATAAATTGATTCTATTTTCAACACGCTAAATATCGAGTAAAAAAAATTATATTTGTATCACAAGTGATTCTTATCAGTTTAAGAAGATTAAAAAAACGTCTAAGAGTCAATTAAACTTCATCATTGAATATAAAAAGATGACCTACTCAGCAATTTTACAATGTCCTTCGGCATCAAGTAGAATATTATCAAGTTTGAGATCACTAGAAAGAACAAAAAAAAAACAAAGGTGAATCATGTTTATATATCAAAGAGAACATTTCTTAATACCGATAAATAACACCATGTCGATGTAAAAACATTAATGCTAATGTTACTTCTGATGCATAAAATCGTGCACGTACTTCGTCAAATTTCCGTGAACGTTGAATTTGAAACATTAAATCACCACCATTAACATATTCCATAATTAAAAGTAAACGTTCCTAAAGATTTTCAATTGATTTTTATTTTGAAGAGCGATAATTAAAAAAAAGACAAGAAAAACCTTTGTTTGAAAACTACAATAAAGTCCAGTTAAAAATGGATGTCGAGCTGATAAAGCTAAAATTCGTCGTTCTGTCATTGTACATTCAACATCATCATTTTGAATAATCGCATCTTTATTGAGCACTTTTATAGCAAAGATTTCACCAGTTAATCTATGTTCACCTAGCATAACCTTCAAAAAAACAAAAACAAAAATATCTTTGAAATAAGAATAAAATTTTAAAAAAATAAATAAATTACTTTTCCAAATGATCCTTTTCCTAATATTTTCAAAAAATTAAACTCATCAATTAAATTATGATGTTTTTGTTTTATTGAATTATCATCAAATGAAGATGGAGGAGGAGTTGCATGTTTTATTGATGTTGCACCAGGTTGATTAGCAGATGATGCTAAAGAAATATAAATTCAATTTCTTGTCTTTTATTCGAAATTAAACAATACATACTATCTACTTCACTTGGTAAATTAGGCTAAAATATTTAAAAAAAAAATAAAAGAAATTTTATATAAAAAAATAAAATAAAAAGAAACTTTTTCCATTTTTTGTGGTCCTGTGTTTATACCAAGATCGGCTAAAATTGATGCAAATTTTCTCTTATCTAAACCACAATCATTGGCAACATTACGTGTACAACGTTTATGTACATTTAATTTGCAATCTAAATATATTTATAAATAAGAAAAATTCAGAAAATAATTCAAATAATAAATAACATTACAAATTATTCGAACTATGAAAAAAAACCTAAAAACATTAACAAAGAAATTACTCTTCTAGAGATTTATGTAGTTTCAGTGAAATCAGATGATTCTTTCTCAACATATTGAATCATGACGAACAGTTGATTTTATGGCTGTTTCATAGCATATGATTGTTTTTTTTTTGAATATCCAATATTTTGAGAAGGAAGCATTGATTTTCACTGAAATTGATGATTCTTCTAAGAATCAAGAGATCTATTTATGGACAAAATATCATTTCGATCGACAATTAATAGTTGAATATTTTCTCTCGTTAAAATAAAAAACAATATGACCACCCTTTACTTTTCTTAATATAGAAAGCATATGAGTCGAGATCTGCAAGACTCATACGAATTTTCATCGAGTGTCAAAAACCATTCAAGATTATTCTTTTCGAAGAGAGATGTTCGAATTTTCATTATTGCGAATATTTGGTGATCACTGTAATCGAAAGAAAAGACGAGCGGCAGGTTCAATTGCTGTCGACACTTTTCTTTCAACAGTCTTCGAGATTTATTTTTCTTTTTGTATAGATTTTACTAAGAAGTCTCAATAGTTTCAGTTTTTCATTGCTATAATAATCATTCACATACTGTTCACGCTAGTATTGTTATACATATCATATGCGAAACTTATACAGATGACAATTTTTTTTCCAGAAATCATCGCTTTGCTGACTGACATAAAATATCGAGACTACGAACAATTCATCGAACCGAATAGTTTATTTCGTCTGAAATTTTCTAACTCTCTATTCTAATAAAACGATATTTATCTTTTAATAAAACAAAAGAAAAACTGTTTAATCACCTGTACATTGCATTCCTTGATTCCAAGCTCCCCATAAAAGTGATCCACAATGATCACAAAATGTAAATAATCGATAAGTATGAGCAACAAAAATATGTGGTATATTAATTTTAAGACGTTTTTCACGATACTAAATGCCATACAAAGAATTTTTCAAAACAAAAGAAAAACTTAAAATCTTGTAACCTACTTCAAAACATGTTCGAATTCCAGGACAAGTTGTAACTACAGATGCCTTACACCGTTTGTGTATCACACATGTACAAACTAGAAGAAAAACAAAAATGTTGATAATTCAATTCTTTGCTTTGCTTTTTATATTCAAAACAAATAAACATTTCTCATGCACCACAAAGCGGATTCTCTGTGTACACGGAAAAAATTTACATGACAAGCACAAGTGTTTGACTTTTTTTTGAACACAATGGTGATTGGGAAGCAACATCCATTCTTACCTTGACATTGATAACCTTGTGTACGAAAGATACCCCTGGAAAAATGAGCCTATTAATCTTATGCTTTCAATGTTGTTCTTTTTTCTTATCGCAATTTTCTAATTTTCTTTTTGTTTGTTTAATATAAATTAAAACAAAAGAGAAACTCTTACCAAATAAATTCTGAGCAAATTGAGCAAAATGTTGGTTGACGAAAAAAAGTTGCCATAAATTTATGTCCATTTATTTCATAAACACGACGTACAACAGCAAAACGTCGTTGAGCAAAAGCTTGTTTATTTTGTTTAAAATGTCGTTCATTACTAACAGCTAATTTAATCACAATTGATAAATTATTTCTTTCAAAAAAAAACAAAAAGAAAACGTTCTTCAAAACTTACAATCACTAAATTGTCCTTGTAATTCAATAGCTATATGAATTCTTCCAGCTGGTTCAAGATCAATCCATATGTCACTTTTTTTATCATGAATATTTTCAAATTTAATTGTAGAATCAGCAACAAATTCATCAGGTGGTAATGCAGCATCATGAAATATCGTAAAATGTAACTGATGTCCATTGTAAACATCACTTGAAAATTCTTCATTATATGCTGGTGTGGTTGTTTTTTCTTTTGTATGTGTACGTCCTAATGGTAAATCATCAATATCAACTGATACATATGGACTAACATAAGTTGTTGATGGATTTTGAGGAAAATAACGTGTTGAATGTTGTGTTGCACGCAAATTATCGGCTTCAATTATTTTTAAAAACATTTTCCCGTTAAAAACAACCATTTTCTTTTTCTTTTTTTGATAATCAATTTGAAGAAAAAAAAGGATTCAAGAATAATCAAGAGATTACAAACATCTGCAATTGCTGTTGACAACAGAAAAATAAATAAATAACAACAATGCAATGAAATAGAATATTGGCAGCCATTTTATTTTACTCATGGGAATACTCAATATATGATGGTCAATGATTCTTCCGGTTTTTTGATTTAGAGATATATTGTTTAATGATTTATTTAAAATAATGTATGTTTTACATAAAAGGATTACATTAAAATTGAATTAAGCTTTAATCTAAAATTAGGATAATCCTAATAGATGTCTCTAGTTAACTATTGAATATATTACTTGTGAATGCTAAGTGAACGATTCAAATAATCTACTTAACATTTTGTTTTCGTTTTGATTCATATTCAATTCGAAATTCCATTACAATTTATAGACTATATTTTAATTTTATTATATCTAAACCTTTATTGGTTGTCATACACTAATATAAAATGTGTTCCACTTTGCGACATGAAATGCTCGTTGCGACATATTTTGAAAGTGTGGCTAGAATTTAATATTCAGTGTGTTTTTTATTTTTTCTGTGAAAGTGAATAATTAGCATGTTTTCATTTAATTCGAGTTAGATGCATTTATTCTTGATATTAAGATAGGCAAGGTATCATTACCAGACAGCTAGTGGCTTAACTGTCGATAAAAGTGATTGACTACTACTACAGAGAAGAGAAAAAGAGTCACTGTAATTTCCCATAGCTGATAACAATTTTTCTTTATCATTTAATTGATAACGGAATACTAACTGTCTATTCTACTTGAAATCTTGTCGTCTCGTGATGAGGCAGTTCACTCTTGATGACCGATCAATCTCTCAACATGTTCTATGTAAAAAGAACCACATGAGAAAATCTAGAAATTCGGTGTGTTCAGTTAAGTCTGCTATATGTAGCTGTACGGGTAAAACAAAGCAGTAAAAGAACACTTAGTAGATACACTACCAATATATCTACAATACGACACATTCGTCTGCAAAACATTTTCCTGATATATTCTACGGCACTACAATTAATGATACATCAATACTTCACGTTGTATTTTAGTGTATTTCATTGTATAACGTTATTTAGTTCTGTTTCTTGGTAGTCGTATCTTCCAGTGTATAATAAAGGGGTAGCAATAAAGTTAGATCACCAATCCAAACGATTAGAACTTGAAATATGTGTTAATAACGCAATTGCGTATCTGACGGTTTTTTTCAAAATTGAATTATATTAGCTTTCTTGCCATCAATGTAAATAATTCAAAGTCGTACAGTAATACAAATGTTTTTGCTCAAGTGGTTAGAGATACTAACAGTACATGTTCAATATGGTAAATAAAGCTTTTATGAAGTGAGGATCTATTTATCGAATAGTTGAAAAAGATATTCGCATTTTGCTTTTAGATAAATTTTGAAATTTAAACTAATTTTATGATTGAAGAAGAAATTGAAATGAACTGAGTTAATATTTCTGACCTGAACTTTAAGAAAGCTTCGGTTTTATAGAACCGAGATTTACGTTGATGTAATGACGAGCATATGAGAAATCGATAGTTCTGTATAGCACATAATGAATAAAGTGATTTTAAAAAATTCATGTAGTGATTAGGCACGCCCCGAGCCCGAACTTCTCGGGTTCGGCCATTCCCGGGTTCGGTCATTCCCGGGTTCGGTTTTCCCGGTGTACGGTCATTCCCGGTACCTAAAACATTAGATTTAGTGATTCATGTACTTTGGTCTGCATTAGGCATCCATAGAAGCCAGGTATGACCGAGCCCGGGATTTCCGGTCTGTACCCGGGTTCGATGCATGCTTAGTAGTGAATGGATATAATTTCTTTACACAATTAAACAATCTCTTAAGAATATATTAGTCTATTTTGCATTAGATCAATACAAAATTGAATGTAGATTGGAAAAGATTTTGTTCTACAAGTATTCAAATATTTCAAATGAGAAAGTCAAATCGAACTTTCATCAGTTACTGCATTATCAGAAGTTCATGTTGATCTTCAGACCACATAAATCGACTAATACAAAGAAATACATATTAAGACTCGGAGTTATATCAAATAATTTATTATACAAAAAAACATATACAATACATAATGATAGAAATTATAAAATGTTTGATATAATGTTGCAGGTTGATGAATGACGCGTGAAGAGGCATTAAATTGTAATAAAATTCGATATAATACTTTTTATCAGTACTACCTTGTAATTCTACGTATTTTATTTACTTTATCTGTTTAAAAGGTTATTAGGTAGACGTATCAACTACTATAGAAATCATCGGTGATAACTTTTAGACAAGTGTTATGTTCTCAGTTATGACGATTCTAGTATATTGAACTGTATTATGCCTGAAGTCCTGCGAGACACACTTTTTTCGAATTCCTTCACTTTTTATTTTCAAAATGTTTCGTACGATGGTAAAAATGGGATTTTTCAAGATTCACGACTGTCATACAGGACTCTAGTTTTTCATGTTTGTGACAGTTGCTAATTTTTCTAGCAGAGTTTGTGATAGAACTTATCTATAAGGATGCATATGAGCAAACGTAAATTCTTTGCTTAATGAATTAGTCTAATTCTTTTATTGATTTTGAAATATACGTATAAAAATAGAGTCACTTAGTTTTTCCTTTCTTTTCTCTCAAATATTCTTCATGTTTTACTTATTGACACTGTCGAATCTATTCTTATTTTCAAGCTTGAATACTTGTTATACTTTCAAGTTAACAAAATGAAATATAATTTATTCTAATTCGAAATATGAAGTTTGACAGTCACTAAAATAATTTTATGATTTAGATGTTGACTTTAAAAAGACTGTAAGGCAATAAGTAAACTTTTTTATTAAATTATCTTCTTGCTTTTTCTGGATGGTATAAATTATATAGTAAAATAATATAAATGACAAACAGATATCTTTTGATATAAAAAGAAGTTCTTATTATTTTATTATACTGTCGAAGAAAAACTATTTTCAATGTATTGACATTAGTAAGTATGAAAAACTTTTAATATTGATGATTATCATCAAAGTTGCATGAAGTTTTATTATTATTTCTAAACTTTATTATCCGGTAATAAGAAAAAGCGTGCAATAACAAAATTTATAAAAGAGTTTATGAGTCTTATAAATAGTACATCAAAATTTCATAAACCCTTTTAAGGTTAATGCTTATTTCATAAACTTTTCAATGGTTTCTTATGCATTTTTTTTTTATAAACTCTAAAACGATTTATAAAAAATTTATATACTTCTTTTTATGAGAGAGACTCATATATCTATGTTAAAATATTATTGCATGTTTTTTTATCATTCTGAAGATATGGACAGCGAAGAAATTTTTCATACCTTTGCTATTGTAATCTTTATTGTTCTTGGTTTAATTAAAACAATATTTTCATTGACAATTGTTATTATTATTAGTTCCAATTGGAATAGAAAATGTCGATCAATTCTTAATCTTCATGTATGTAATTCATGTATTAGTAGTCTCTTTTATGTCTTTGCTGTATCCACACAAATTCCTCTTCTATTTGAAATCACTTATCAAGAAAATCATTATATTTCATTAGTATTTTGTGAAATTCGTGGTTTCATTTTTCTCACGGCTTGCGCTATTAAATCCTATTCATATTTAGTTCAAACAATTTCTCGTTATTTTATAACAGTTCATCATAAACGAGTAATTCTTCTTACATTTCGTTTCAATCTAACCATGATTTTTATTAGTTGGATAGCAGCTTTGCTTGTTACAAGCATTTCATTTCGAACACCATTTGCTTATCGATATGAACCCGATTCTCATTTATGTGTTATTACAAGTAAAATTTTTTCAATATCTTTTTATCCAACAATTTTTATATTCTTAATTCCAATGATTATAATTATTTGGCTCTATGGTTCTGTTCTATGGCATACAACACATTCTAATCGTATTCATCCAATGAATATTTCTATGATTAGAACTAAAAGACATATAAAAGTATTTCGAAATATTCTTATTAATTTAACTGTATTAATTATTGGTGCAGCACCGTATTTTATCTCGATTATAATTAATAGTGTAACTGCAATTCCACAAATATTTCATTTAATTTCGACTATATTTATTTCGATGTCTAATACATTCGAATTAATAGCTATTTTCTTTACAAATGAAAATGTTAAAACAATTTTTTATATAAAAATTGGTTGGCATCATGAACCAAGTAATAACATACCGATGCGAAGAAACAGAGGACAGTGTACTACAATAATCTAAACAAAACTGAACTTTTACTAACAAAATGTGTTTAATAAAAAAGTTTCCACGATTATTTAAATAAAATTGTCAATGCAATATTATTGCAAAAATAAAAATTAAATTTATTTTTCTTCACTATTGTTTGTCAATATTTAGTTAGTTCACAATTACCAAGAGTAGCAATAGTATATAGAAAAACTTCTCAGGTTAATGATTTTGGAATCTGGATCTCTGAATTTCTGACAGCTTTCTGCTTGATAGAAAGAATTCGATGATCGGATTTTTCTAGTCCCGATAGTCACCGAGCGGAGGGGATCACCGAGTTCCTAGTTCGAAGCTCCTAACATATTTCTGAGTTTTGCAGTCGGAAACGGTCAGTATTTCTCGACCTGCTTTAGTTAGGATTCTATTTTTTCAAATGTTCTTGTGACTCTCTAAGTTATTGATATAGAGTAGATGTCATTTAAATCATTTGTAGAATACTTTTTTCATGGCATCTATACTTATTCAATTGACTATATTAACTACGGTACCATGTAAGATGGTTTATCAATTTTTCTAATGAGCGAATCGTCGCAACTTAAAAATCGCTATCGAGTGCAAGCCTTGTGCATAAGGTAGATCTAAATGCGGCATTAAAAACCCCAAAAGAATAAAAGTCCCTACGCCGTCCCTATAGAGTTATAGCAGTTTTACTGACATTTAGCCCGTGGACAAGTCTACTTGTGACTAGAATGTCCTGAAATTTTCAAAACATTCTAGTTACAAGCAGGTCTACCTATGAGCAAAAGTGCAAATCAAAATGTTGCCATTCGATTCTATTTTTATACATACAGTGCTAAAGGCCAGGTTTTCAGTAAAATGGCTATAACTCACTGGGAAAAATCTAGGGACCCTTATGATTTATAGGTTTTTAATACTTCATTAGGATTTACCGTCTGCATAGAATGCAAAGTCAAAAGTGATTTTGAAATTGAGAAGGTTTCCTTGGCAGTAGTCTTAATAACAAAAATGCATAGCATGATGGATTTGAAGAATATGATAAGTTAATAGAATGTCACTTAATTGAATTTAAGAAAAAGTGACTTTATTTATGTTCAATTGGTTTATAGAAAAAAACATAATTGTTAGATTTCGATTAAATTTCATAACATTTTCATTTTTGTGCTGAGTAATTAGACTTAGAAGAGTTTATTTGAATTTCAAAGCTTGAAGACAAATAAATAAACAACGATAGTTTGTAAAAATAAATAAATATTTATTAATTTTCAATCATCTATTAAATGAAATATTTAAATTTAATTATTTTTATAAGTGAATATATATATAATTAATTTTAAAAATGAAAGTTAAAAGAAAAAAATAGTCTATTTAAAATATTATTTTCTTTTTATTAAAAACCTTTCATATTAAACAATATCAAGTTGCTTTTTATATAGCTTTTTCTTATATTGTGTATTGAATCGTTGACAACGAATAAGTATTCCTATTGCTTTTTTTAATCAAGAAATCCTCTGGTGAATTTTTCTGTACTACTGATTTTTGCATAATGAATGGCAATTTCTGCAAGATTATTAGTATTATATTTATTGCTTTCATTTTAATTACTATTCATTTTTTTCTATTATAATTATTCTAATTATTGTATTGAACTCTTCTACTGTGTTGATCGTTTTGCTAATTTCGTTTTTTTTAGAATATGGATCTTCAATCACACTCACGCCCTAATTATCCATGATATACATATCTTGTAGAATATTCACATTTTCAAAGAATTTTTCTGTCACTTTTCCAATGAATTATATAAGAATAGCCATTATCGATTAATAAAGGTCCTCCTTTTTTAATATTTTTGATATAATAATTGACATAATTGCCTTTTGTAAGGTCGCTCTATTCGTCTGTGTGGTTATGTATATATATGTCTTGTTGAATATAACTTGTCATTGTGTTAGAATCATCAATTCGACAAATTTTAGAACAATTAAATTAATCAATTTATGATGAAGGCCACTCTTCCACAAGAAGTCAAATTATTGTATTATTGTATTTAGTTATTTTATTTGACATTCTTGTAAAATATTACACAGCGAGTAATTATCCGTTTCCCGAAATTAGATATATCTTTTATTTTCAGTTAGGGGAATATAAATTTTTTTATAATCGGTCAACAATTATAAATTTGTTATTGACATAAACCATTACATTTCAAGGAAGAATTTTCAAGGATTGTTTTTTGTAGAATTGCAACTAAATTTTTTCTTGCATCATTTAGTCTGTCTAGTAATTCTTATTTTCTATATTCCAACTTACTACATAATAACAAAAAGAAACATTTGAATATTTAAAAATGTTTTTATCTTTGTTAGTGTTATGATGATTGGTATATCTCGATATTTTTTATGTGTTGTTGTTGTTGTTGTTGCTAATATTATTGAAATTCCATGGTCATTATTATTCCATCGCAGGTCTTTTTCTGCCAGGTACCTAATCGTAGGAATCCATATAAAAGACTTTAACAGAAACACAGAAGAGCACATACGAATGTTGAGTCAACATCAAATCCGAACGCCTTGTCGCAGTAATTTCTCTGTAGAACTCAATTTTCTAATTTCAATTAAAATGAAATATTCAACACTTCTCTCACTATTTCAAGGTAAAAGTCAGGGACTAAAAAATTTTTTTACTAATGAAACCCAGCCTTGCAAAATATTCATCTTATTTTTAAACCCGTTCTCATTCGAAAAGAAACGACGATCGTCCGTTAACAAAACCACTAGTTCATACGAATTCAACTCTGTGTCGAACACATTCAAATAAAGTCTTAGCATGACTGTAGGACTGGTTATTATCAAGCATTAGTAGCAGACCGAACCTAAAATCCTAGTATTATGGGCCAAACATATAACTTTTGCTCAATGACCACACTTGAAAATAGCACCATTCGACTCAAAATTTAGTTCTACATCCAGCCCAAGTCTATGAGCGAATGTCAGCAAGGAATACTCAAATCCGCTGCTAACTTTTCTCACGTGACAGTAACAATAAAAATCCATTTCTTTCTCAATATTTGCTGCAGATTAATTTTACTCAGATAAAGACAAACACCAGCCACATCGAAATACCCTCGGTATTGTGGTACCTATACACACCCGTTAAACGGTGATCCTACACAAAATTCTACGAGTAGAAGATGATATTATGTATTTGATTTAAAATTTTATTTGAATTTTGGATCTACTATACTAGCATCCAGTGCCACTTGATAAGATTATTTCAGCAAGATAGAAATACCCTTGGTATCGTTTTAGCTATACACATCTACATCCCACCTTCAATCTTGAGAAACTTTTGTTTTTTCTCAACGATGTTCCAACATTTTATTCACTCTTCTGCTCACCAATGTTTCGGAGAACTCTCGACAATCTCAATCCTAGCTGCCTCGACACACCCCTCTCTTCAACAAAAGTACTAAAAAAAATGTTTACACTTCTTATTTATAATAAGATTTCCATTCTTTCACTTTCGATTTTTATTTTCATTAAAAAACCTTTTTTACGTTGCTAAATGTTTCAACAAAGAATTCTATGTATATACATAGGAGATCATTTTGCGATGTCTTTAAATTTTCGTTCATATTTAATTCATTAATAATTCTCGAACATAACCACATTTAACAAATTCACTGAATTCTAAATATAATATAACTAAATAAAAAATTTGTTTTGTTAATTGAATTCTTTTACCTTTAAATGTGATATGATTATTACGATTAATAAATGTTTGTCGAAGATGTTCATATAATAAAATTTTTTTTTCGAAATCATTTTCATTTGTATTAAATGCTTTAAGTAATATTAAAAGTGAATCAAATTCTTCTTGTTCAATTGTACCATTTGAATTTTGATCAAATAAACAATCAAATGTTGAACGTAAAATAAAATCATTTATTTCAGCCGCATTATTAGCAAATACAGGAGCAATTAAATCAATAAATTGTTCAAAATTCATATTAAGTAATTCTAAAAATAAGAAAAACAAATCATAAAAGAAAATACATATCGATTCATTTTTCAAATAGACTTTTTGAAGAAATATATTTTTGTGCTTCAATAAATTGTTTTTCCGTCATTCGTAATTGAAAACTTTGACATGGATTTGCTTGAAACCAACAAAATTCAACTGAAAAAAAGATAATAATAAAATTAATTCGAAATTTTTATTATAAACCTTCAACGACACGTTTTCCAATTGTTTTAACATATTTTGAATATTTATTGATAAGTTCAGCATTGAATAATGATGTCGATTGTTGTAATCGTTTTTGTTCGGCAAGCACTTCAAGACTCATATTTTTTTCTCAAATAATATCAATCGAAAACTATTTTTTTATACACATCAAACTTATTTTCTCTTTTTTTTTAAATCTGATTGTTCAACGAAACTGATGAATTTATTTACATGTTCATGTAAATGTGTCATATGATCATGAAGAGAAAAAAAAAGTAAATGCCAAAAAGACTAATGAATATATAGATAGAATGACTTTATTTAAATGTGTATATCAGAGAATAAGAGAAAAAGGTCGTTTTTTTATTCATTGATATGAAAAACTAAAGATTCATATGACACATATGTTGATGAGGGTCAAATGGGAGTGAAATATAATTCAATTCTACTACCGTAACTTCTTCGTAAAGAATAGCCTTTGCTCAGAAGCCACAGATGATGGCTTCTTCTCATTCTGTCTACTATTTGGTTACTTGTTGAACACACATAATCATGAATCAATATTGCATAAAATGAGCCAAAATATATAAAATCAATTTTGACATTCTTTTGTTAGTAATATAATTGAAAAAAAAATTGGTTGTCTGGCCACAAAGAACAAATGACAAGAGCAATTTTCTTTAGTTCACTGCTCTTTTTATTGAGGTCATATGTCAGAGGTTAGACGACATCATATTCAATCAAATACCTTCAAGTTACTGGTCACTTTTTTCTTTTTTTTGGCTCTTTTGCATAATAATTGAACTAGAAAATAACAAATATATCATCTGTATTTGATTATTCTTGTTTATCTAAAATATTTTTCATTCGTTTAGCAATATAATACCAATCATAAATATAATCATATTTATAATGATACTTAAGAAAAATAGATCGAATTTGTGAACGTATATATAGATAATCAGGTTTTTCATGAAATGTTAATGAACGAATATAATTATATATAATTTTATATTGTTTAGGTAAATTTTTAAATAATTCATTTGATGTTATATTCATTTTTTTCATTGCAATTAATTCATATTTTTTTCTTTTATCACTTGCTTTAATACCCATCCAAGGTAATTCGCCTTTAGATAAATAAATAAGAATATAGATTAATGCTTCAAGATCATCACGACGTGATTGTTCATATCCTCGATGAGTATATATACCTGTATTTATTTAATTTATATATATATTTATATGTATATAAATATATGATTAAATAAAGAATATTTACTAGCATAACGAGCAGTGCCTGTTAAACTTTTACCATAGGTTAATGAAATATGAATATGTGTAATTGGATCTCGATATTGTTTACAAAGACCGAAATCAATAACATGTAATATGTTTGCTTTTTGTCTTGTACCCATAAGAAAATTATCAGGTTTTAACTAAAAAGTATATAATTATAATGCAAATTTGAATTATTCGATTAATTATTTACGTCTCGATGGATTAAATATTGTTCATGCATATGCTGAATACGCAATACGGCTTGATCAATTAACATAAGAACTGTTTTTTTACTAAATTTTCTTTGACAAAAATTAAGTAAATCTTCAAGTGATGGGCCTAATAAATCCATAGCAAGAATAATAAAACCTTTTTCTTCAATAAGAGCTATCATTGATGGATAACCTGTACCTAAGAATATATTGATATTATTGAAATAATTCATTTAAAATCAATTTACAATTTTCCATTCTTAAAAATATTTGTTGTTCAATACGTAATTGTGGATGTTTTGAATCACTTCGTTCCGTTTTAATAGCACATAATAAATTAGTTGTTATGTCTTTAGCAAGAAAAACTTCACCAAAAGAACCTGAACCAAGTCGTTTTAATATTTTAAAACGATTATTAATTATAGATGATAAAATTTCTAAACGATCATCTTCTTTTTCATCTTTATTGTGAATTTTAACATTCGGATCACCTTGTACAAATGGTACATTTGCCATTATCCATGATTAATTAATGCTATAAAATATTCATTTGACCTGTAGTTTTTTTCTATTAATAAAGAAATTGTTTATAGAAAAAATATGCTTAAAATTCTGGCGCCCTAAAATAATGCAATATCGATTGGTTTTCTTTTTCGGTATTGTACATTGTTAAAGAAATTAAATTGCCTTCAGTTAAGAGTACATTAGGAGTGTCCGATGAAGGATGAAGTAGTTAACAGGGACATAAACTCATCGGATGAATCGCTGTTTTCATCAACAAAAAATAATGACTTAATATGACGACTTTCGCATAAAAATAGATGCTTAATTTATCAAGTTTTTTTATTCTTGATTTCAATTTTCTCAGACATGTTCGTCAGATTTCTTATCGGTACATTCTTCAATCATTATTTTTCTTTTTTTTAACTTTATCAAGACTTCATCAGAACGTCTACACGATGATTGATCACCACAAAGGTCAATTGGCTTAATGAATATTTTCAATAGAAAAACTTTAAAATATCTGAATTTTCCAATAAAAGATAAATAAGAACGTTTTATATTGAAATTCTTCTACTTCGATGCGTTTTGTCAATACAGGCTATTTCATCAGTTTTGAGGCGCGACAAAATTAGTTCATATTCAGACAAAGAATAACACCTAATCGAATGTTTTGACATTAGTCTTGGTAACAATTTTTCAAATGATATGTTTTTGGATAATATCTTCTCTTGTAATAGCAAAAATATAAACTTTGAGAATATGAGAATAAATTTTTCACCATCAATCAAAAAGATATTTTATAAAAAACTAAACGAAAAACAGTCTCATATCAATTTAATTACACAAAAATCTCATTTAATTATGACACATTTGATATCCACAACTTTTTAAAACTAATCTGCCAGATCTCTTAGAAATTTTATTAATCATCACAAATTCTTTTGCATCCTTTGTTCAATCTAGTTTTTTACAACTGGAAAATTATTCTCCTCGTGGTTTTTCTTTAATATTTTCCATACAGTTTCACTAAGTCCATACGCCAGCAAATTTAGCGTCACCTTCTTGGAGGTACAACTCGATTATTAAACTATTCATCATTAATTGTTCTTTGTATTTCATTCTGCACACGACTTTTTCATATATTTTATCCATTTCAATCTGATTACTGAGTACATAGCTTCATTGAGCATGTAACCAATGGGTCATGATGAGCATCGAATAAGATAAATAATTCTTGGCTCTTTTTTTATGTAGAATTGTTCAGCACTTTATAAAAAAAATCACATTGATCGATTAAGAAAAATTTATCATTGTATTCTCAATGTTTATATTCTTATAATTACCAGCGACGATAATTGTTGTAGCTAGATTTTCTCTTGCAGAAGAACAAACACCTATACTTGGGAGCACAGACATTTCACATGTGTTCCTGTAACCACAAATTCTGGGAGAGCACATCTGATCTTCGGAAGGGTTCTGCCTCTCAACCCTCACGCTAGATATAACACTGGAGAAAATATTATCTAATAATGTGTCATTTGAAAGATTGACACGAATGTTCATCGGCTTGTCCAAACGTAACGTTGTCACGTTTTTGACGCACTTTTTCTGCATTATCTCTGAAACTATGAGAGCTAAAAACTCCGTTCAAACGCCATTCGACACAGCTTGTCAAACTCTATTTATGCCATAAAAATGACTTTTTTCGGTAAAAGTCTCGAGCTTCGAGAAAGGGTTTTTGGTCTCGTAATACTGTGACATAAAAAGACCCTTTTTCTTCAGAGCCGCTAATAAAATTGCAATTTCTTGTGAAAATGTTACTCAATATTAAGTACTTCTAGAGCTAGGTCTGTAGAGCTTTGAACGGGCTTTTAAACGCTAAAAAAAAATTCCTCTAAACTATTTTTACTTAGATAAAAAATGCAAAAAACAAACGTAACGCTGTGACAGTTTTTGTCGACCAATTTTGAGGCACTTACCATGGTCAGAACGATTTGATTTTTATAAGTGTTAGTCTTTTCTGTATAACTAATCGTTCTACGCAAGAACAAGATCGATACATCGACATGGAAGCACACAAAAGACGTATTAAGTTGAAAACTGTATAAGAGTCTAAAAATTGTCCTTAACCACAAAAGTCGAAACTAAATATGCCATATTATAGAGAATGAAATTCTGCATCGAATGGTATGTTCTTCGACTTTTTTTGGAAAAATTTCTTAGTTGGAAAATCCAAAACACGATTTTTGAAAAGTTTAAAACCCGGTTTTCAATGCTAAAATCTAATTTTTGTATAAAATAAGTCTCAAATTCGTAATCAGCGTTAAAAACTGCATCTGGTAACTCATTCAAATCTATCCAACTCGAAAATAAATTTTTTCGAAACTTGATCAGCGAAGTGTCGCGTTACATGGACAAGTCGTCATATAAAAACATTCGGTCACAGGTTATTTTCTGCCTGCCTAGAAACTAATTTTATTACGCTTCATCAAACTTTATATATATATATATATTAAAATTCTCTCGTTTCGAATAACAATTAAAGACAGATGAAAAAAAAAACAACCTCTGATATCTTCAAATTTATCATATTTATTTCGTTCTTTTGTTTTAGTTATATTAAAAGATCATTTGTCTGTAATCAACGAACATGAAATCAAACAAAAGAATTTTATTCTTATTTTTTTTTCTTCTGTTGTCGAATTTTTCATACAAACAACAACAACAATAAGAACAAGAACAATAAACAAGCACAAGAAAAGAGAAAAAACAAGGAACAAGGAAACTAACACACAAAACGCATATAAAGGAAATGTTATTTTATTTTGATTCACTTGAACTTGATCGCGAATATCGACGTTCTTTTTTCTTAGGTGATTCAGCCGTATTTCCACTTGTACCTGTTCGTCGACTAGATGCCGATGGTGATTGTCCACGTCGATAACTTCTTGATGGTGGTGAATATCCACCTCTTCGATCATTATATCGTCCTCGATCACGTTCTCGATCTCCCATACGTCTTGGTGGTGGATAATGACGTGATGGTGGTAATGGTGAACGTCGACGTCTTCGATGATACGGTGATGATTCTCGACGATTTCTATCAGCAGATAAATGTGCTGGTTGACCATGAACAAGTACACAAACAATTTCTTGTCCATCAATTTGTCCAGTTTCCATATATTTACATGCTTGTTCAGCACCATTTGGTGAAACATATTCAATATGAGCAAAACCACGATGAAGATTTGGATGTATACGATGTGATGGTAAATCAATTTCTTTTATTTCACCAAATGTTCCAAATATTTCAGCTAAATGTTCTTTAGTAACATTTAATGACAATTTACCAATATAAATTTTAGTTGCTTCTTTTTCTTTTTCTTTTTCTTGTCGACGTGATGATGACGGACTAGGAATACGATGTGTTGGAATTGTTGGAGCAGTAGGTTTTTTGTCATCAATTGATCCATGTTCTAATGATTTTTTATTTGATGATTTATTATTAATAACTTTAGTTGATGTACGATCATTCTTCTTTTCTGGTGATGATGCAGCTGATGATGAACGACTAGTTGATGATGATGAATTCGATGATGATGACGACGATGAACGACTTGAAGCTGATGATGAACTTGAAGTACCTGATGAACTTGATCCACTTGAACTTGAACGTGATGCACGTTTACGTTTTGCTTTTAATGGAGATTCTTTTGGATTTTTTATTGTATCTGTTTCAACTGTCATTCTATATTTGATTTATATAAATTAGAATTTATTTAAGAAAAACGAATATTGTTTTATTTACTTTTTGTTTTCTTTTTCAAACGATTTGTTTCGAGGTTTTGAATTTGGAATTAGGTAATGATCTGAAATAACAGGCTAGATACTTTATTAGAAATATATTTAATTAAACATATTATCAACGAGATAAACTTAATATAATAATTGTTGTGACGTTTCGAAAAATGTCCAGCAGATGAGAAAGAGTATGAAAATGTCTAAATTATAGCAACGGCCATCTTTGTATAAATGAAGGTTTTTAATGTCCAATGAAATACTGAGTATGTGCCTCTTTAGCTTTAAATCTATTAAATAATAATCACATTTTGTATAGTACACATGAGAAAAAAAAATTTTATTATTACATGAAATATAAAAAGCTTCCTGTAGATGTCACTCAAAAACAAAAAAAGGTTTTCTGTAGCAACTTATCAATTCAAAATCATCTGATCTAAACAATAATAAAGTGCAGCAGATACATTATTTACGAATGTTCATTTCATTGTCACAAGAATGAAAGTAAGCAGTTTTAGATGGTTGTTCAAGCTTTCAGAAGGATTTGAAAGACTGTTCAATGAAAATATTTAAAACGAACAATTTCTTCAAAAATAAACAAAATATCACATACTGTTCTTCTTAATTTTAATTCAATATACAACATTTATTTTGACAACTCATTTATGTACAATGGAGAGAAAAATAAAGAAAATAATACAAATACTATAAAAATAAGTTCAAATTTGCCTATACAATTATAACGAGAAAGTTATGCCATATAAATTTTATTATTTTTTTTCTTACAATCCTTAAAATACATCTTCTGTAATGTCATGTTAATCATGCATTTAAGTAATGTAAGCAATAGCCTACAAATGAAATGCATAGCTGGTAGTTTGATAATTATTGAAGAACAATTATATCATTTTGATTAGACTTTCGTTTCTGAAATAAAAATAAAATCAATTTATAAAAGATTTCAATGAGAAAAATTCAATCATACTTTTGTTGTTTGTATTGATTTTTCATCACTAGATTGACTTGTGTTTCGTTTACCCTTTACTACTTCTTGAACGTTGTCATTATTATCAGTGCCGGATGAAAGGTCAATTATATGTGCACAGTTCGGACATGAGACTATTCTCTTTTTGGAAATTTCTAGTGACATTTCTATAAATGAAAGTATATTTGTTTATGCAATATTTATAATAAATTAATAAATATTTATTTCTTACCGGTAAGAACCGTTGAGTAAACAGTCGTATCCCATTGTGGAATACAAGATGTTCCATCTGAACTTGATGCACAAAATGTGAATGCTAATTGAGATTTATCCAGTTGATATTGTTGAATTAATTGTTTTGGATGTAATGGTGGCACTTGTTTCAAACTTTTTTTATCCGATATACCAAAAACATCTTGAAATGGATGAAATGGCTTTAGAGGTTGACATAATCTTAATTCATCTTGTTTCGATTTAATTAATACTAAATACAGTCTAGAATAAAAAAAATACGATAGAATCGAAAGAAGAATAGATATAAATTACTAACCTCATTAGTCCCGTTTTATCAGTCTTGATGGCTACATAAATTGGATTACAATCTGGTACATCAGATGTTACATTATCTCGTTGAAATCGATAAGGCATCGAATATCGATTACCTGATTCAGTAGGTATTGTTAGCCAATCGACTCTGATCATACCAGAAACATCCGATGGTACCTAAGATATTATTAAAAATGATAAAATTCCAAGAAAAAACTTTATACAAGATTTCTAGTACCTTGAGTGTAACAAAGTGATTGCCAGTGCGATCCGCCACATATCTTGGCTTACGAGTTTTTCCATCGAGTGTAAAATAATCACTTTTATATCGCGGGCGGAAAAACTCTTCTAATGGATGAAGAATTCGTATTTTATGCGAACGTTTTATCGATATTTGTGACTGGCCAACACCAACGGACGGTGACAATTTAATTTGTCTTGTATTTGACTCCAATCCTTTTCTATTGTCTATTTACAAATAATAAAATATAATATTTCATAATCCAATGTAATTAGAAAAGTTTGATTACTTACCGACAGGTGATATAGGTGAATTACCATTATACATCAATGCATGATTGCTATTATGTTCGAAATAAAGACCTGAAAATAAAGAATTAATAGAAAACGTTTGATTTCTTTTTTTTTTGTAAACTTTTTTACTTTGAGGGATTTTTGGTCCGAGATATTTGTCAAACTCATATGATTCAACGGAATTCCCTACTGATTCTAAATTAAAAATACATTCAAACAGCATATAATTTTTCATTAAATGTTATTCTTATATCTTACCAGTAAAATTTTGGTAATTACACTCACCAGAAACAGGAAAATCCAATGAAATTAAATCTTGATAAAATGAATTCTCAAGACCCAATTCAGACAATACATCATTTTCCTCTTTTAGGCATGATAAGATATCACCGTGTGCTTCTTCAGATATACGTTCAGCATGTACATTATTGAAACATGCCATATTTATGCTAATTTTACACTAATTATTCTGTTTTTTTTTCTTTCGTCGAGGGTGGTGACTGGCGATGATATAAAGCCAAGTGGCAATCACCAAAACTACTGTCTAAGAAAAAATAAGTGTTTTTTTATGAATATCCAATTGACTTTTCTTACCTTTGTCGATTGTTTTTTTGTTTATAGTCTTTAGTTATTATGGTGTGCAGTATTTATATCAAACCTAAAAGCCATGCAATAGGTTTTTTCCGTGCCCTATTTACACTCGTAGGAAGAACAGAATGAAAAAAAACGAATGCAACGATGACTCAGATTGTTTCGTCAGAGAAAATAAATCATTGCTTGTAGAAAAAAAGTATTGCACATTGGAGTTAAAACAGACAATTATTGAGAAATGTGTCGCGTCATAAAGAAGATAGTCTTTGATTAATATTTTATTTGTATAGTTGATGACTTGTACATTTCTCGAGGTTGTTTTTAATAAACATAAAAATGAAAATGTCAGATCATACGTCACTTGTAAATTATGTAAATAGATGATTAACGTTAAACGACAAAATATTTGCACAAGCAATTGTCTATCATATCAGATTTTAAAAAAAATATCAATTCAAATTATTCGAATAATTAAAATAGAGAAAATTCTTTTTTTTTTAGAATATTCACCTATGATATCAAGTACAATACACATATCATAAATTATTCAGAGAATTCATTATTTAAAGAATTAATATAATTATAAGATATTTTAGGGTCATACAAGCATTTTAAATTCTTTGATATATGTATTTATATAATTTGCTAAGACTTTTTCTTGAAATTCATTTTGTGAATAATATTTATTTTGGTTTTTATTCGTTTTCATTACAATCTTTTTAAAAAAATAAGAAAAATAGATATATTTAACTTTCTTGAATAAAATAGTCATAAAGAATATCGTTAGTGATTGATGCTTGTACATCGACTTGAATGTTTACCACAATAACAGTTAACTACTAGCTAATGCTGTCCTTTTATTCTAACTAAAATAGGATAATAAAAAACATAAAATAAACAAACATGATCATGAATATCATACCTTGTGTCTTTTTTTACAACAATCATAGTTTTTGTCTTTTTAGTATTTTGTCATGACTGGGGTCATGCATATCGCACATTGTTATTTCAAACGAGTGCGAACAATTTGGACAAGTTGCCCTTCGTTTTTTTGAAGTATCAGTAGATATTTCTATAAAATCAACATTTTTTTTATTAGAAAATTTTCAATTCATCAGATAAAAAATTATTTTATTTATTTACCTGTAAGAACTGTTGAATAGACAGTTGTATTCCATTCAGGTATATATGATTTTTCATCTGGACTTAAAGTAGAAAATGTAAATGCTAATTGAGATTTATCTAACTGATAATCTTGAATTAATTGTTTTGGATTTAATCGAAACATTTGTTTCAAATCATTTTTATTTGATATACCAGAAGTATCTGGAAATGGTTTGAGTGGTTGAAGTGATTTCAACTCATCTTGTTTTGCTTTGATTAATACTAAGTAGAGTCTATATTAAAAAACAAAAAGAATTAGTATTAATTGCTCCAAAGAAAAAAGGTCGAGGAGCAAAATTTCGAACAAAAAAACGACTGAAAGGTAAAAACTCGAACGAGTGTGATCTTGAAAGAGACAAAAGCTCGAAAAGTGAAAATTCAAAAAAAGAGAACCTCAAATATGCAAAATCTCAAAAAGTGAGAACTCAAAAATCAAAATCTCGTAAGTATAAAACATTACAGTAATTTGAATAGTTGGTAGATAAGCGATATATTAATCATTAATTTGTTGACGAATGATAAAGAAATTTACGAATTAAGATTATAAATGTACAACATTAACTATGATGCAATGCTTTACCGCTTTAGTTCGACAGAAAATAAAAAACACAAGAAAAGTGAGAAGAATTATGGACACCAGAAAAAAATCAGTATTCACTTGAGAATTATTTTTAGCTGTCATACCCTTTACTGCATGTAATAATAAATTTTGAAGATATTCTTTTAAATCAATGTCTGTATTTTGAAATCTTGACGATAAGGGTGTGGATGTAGGTTAACTGGTGATTTACACCTAGATTCACCTACGTTGGCGTCAATGTCCACACCATCACGCCATACATATAGAAGGCTAAATAGAATGACAAAAATAAAACAGAAAAATGCGCAAAAATATGACTCATCCGTTAAATATGCTCGTTTGAACCGTTTTGATGAAAAAAGATGAACTTCAGCAGTAATTTAGCGTTAATGGCTGTTCACGAACTTTTGAGGTTTTCTTATATTCGATATTATACCTCACAAGATGTTGTACTTCGACTTGGGTTTGGGTACAAGCTTTTGCTCATTTGAGATGTTTCTTTCAAGCTTTTTCTAGTCGAGATTTTTAATTTTTCAATATTTTACTATTCGAAATCTTGTGCTTCTGTCTTATTCATTTCAAGCAATTAACACTTCTCTTCAAAAAAGAATGAGAAGTAGATATGATATACTAACTGCATTATTCCTGAATTATTAGCTTCAATCTGTATATAAATTGGATTACTATCAGCTACGTTAGGTAATTCATTGCTTCTTTGAAATTTGTAAGGCATAGAATATCGAATATTTTCTTCAGTTGGAATGGTTACCCAATCGACTCGAATGAAACCTTTAACACCAGGTACTACCTATAAAATTAAAGGTATAGATGATTTATAAATTGAAAATAATGTCGAGATAATATTACATTGATGGTAACAAAATGGTTGCCAATTCGATCAGCCACATATCGAGGTTTTCGAATCGTTCCATCTTGAGAAAAATAATCACTTTTATATCGTGGTTTATAACTTAATTCAAGATCATGAACAATATCAATTTGATGCAATGAATTTAGGGATTGTTTTGGTATGGTAACACCAACTGATTTAGATAATGGAATAGAAGTGGATTTTGATTTTACATATGTATTTTTATCTAGATGAATATGAAAACAAAAGATTTTATAAATTGATATCAAATACAAAAAAAAGATTTATTTTATTTACGTGTAGACTTTTTGAATGAATTTGGAATATAATTATTCAATGCAAGATTATCGTTAACATTGATTATAGAACCTATATAGAAACATTGTTACTAGAATAATCTTTTTCTTTTCAGATGTTTCTTTGCCTTACTTGTCGAACTGTCCAGTCCCAACAAATATAAATCAAGTTCACTTTTTTCGATACCGCAATTTTGTGGGTCTATATATATATATGAAAATATTTCATGAATATTAGTTCAAATGACTAATGTTTTTTCTTTTTAACTTACCGATGAAATCTATCGAATCACGTGAAAGCGAGGTATTATTGACAGGTGCTGCATGACATTCATCTGATAAATTCAAATTTAATGCAAGTGATTCTTGAATACCATTATCGTCGATTGCAAAATTACTGATGTATTCTTCGACTGATAATTGAACGTGCGTCATATTATATGTATGAAAATGTTTATTTAGGTCTAAAAAAAAGCATTTTTACCAAGTAAATTATATTTTTATATGGTGATTCTTCGTCATCGTATTGCGTTGTATTTCTTGCAAGCCTCATTGTAATTTCTCACTGAGGACATATGTTGCTTATAGCGGATGACGGAACAGAACGAAGAAAAAAAAATAATTAAGAGAGAGAATAAAAGAAAAAAAAAGTCAAGAAGGAAATTGCATCTTATGTACTTCTAGTAAAGGTCTGTGATGATAAGGCATTCTTTTATTTCTGTTACTGATTGTAAGGGATGAATCCAATGACTAATGGTTACCATGTATTACTCATCGTATTATGACGTCAAGAAAAACTGCAAAAATAACCTGCATATTGGCTCTTTGAATGTATTTACTACACAATAACCAATATTTGATAATTTAAGTATTCTAAACTGAAAATGATAATATTTTTCTTGATTTATTTTCAGCTTATTATCTATAGAGGACGTTAGAAAACTCGCATTTATAATACTTTAAATACGCACATTTATTTTTTTCAAAGTGAATAAAGAATATTTTCTATGCAATTTGTTATTATGAAATGAATGATGAATAAGCTTGATATCAATGTTGGTCTTATGATTTGATACTCTGAAACTTAAGTCAAAGTTTGAACTACTATTGACAATCTATGATAAATGATAAAGTATTAATAACATTTTCTAATATTATACACTAATAATAAAAATCATTACTATTGTGTTTTTATCTGTTTTTTTTTCTATTTGATTATATTAAAATGAAATTTATGGAAAAAAAAAGAAAAACCAAAACCGGAACAAAATTAATAATAAATTCAGAAAAGCATTGATAATAGTAGAACATATGTATATATAAAGATAATATGTAAAATAAGCAAGTTAAAGTTATGAAAAATTATTAATAAAATTGTTTATTTAATAGTTTTTCTCTTTTTATTCGTCTGATTGTTAGTATTTGACTAAAAAATATTCAAGAAAAGAAAAACAAATTTATATTAGAAACAATAATAAAACTCTTTTCTCTACTTTTGAAGTTGTACTTGATCTGCTTGCATTTGATTGTCTCTTATTAACTGTTGATGTAACATTATCATCAGTAGGTTCAAAACAATGTGCACAGTTTGGACAACAAACTTTTTTCCGAGTAATTTTTGTAACTGTTTCTAAGGAAATAATCAATAAATTTGAGGATTATTAAACATCATTGAATAATTTACCTGATTTATTATTTGATGTTGCTAACTGTTTTGCTGATGATTCAGTGATAACTGATGAAATAACTGTTGTTTCAGGATGAATATCATAAGAACCATTTGGTAATTTTGAACACAATGTAAATGCTATATGGGATTTATCAAGTTGATATGTATTGATTAAATCTTTTGGTGCTAGTTTTTCTTCATTGATGATATCTACAATATGACGAAAAAACAAATATATTATTTTCTTTTCTTTTTTCTTTTTTGTTTTACTTTGTATATTAGTAATTGTATCCGAAAAAGGTATTAATGGTTGAGCATCATTTAGCTGATCTAGTTTGGATTTAATCAAAACAAGTTGAAGTCTAGAAAATTTTTAATAAAATTTATTTATTTTTTGTTATGCCAATTATTTACTTCATAATAAAATTATTTTTTTGTTGTGATTGTACAGGTATATATATGGGATTCTCATCAGGTACTTTAGCATCGCGATGATTTGTTTGAAATTTATATGGACTATAAAAATGTCCACGACCATCAATTGATGTTGTTATTAATGCAGCACGAATGTATTCTTTTGTAAAACCACGTTTATAATCTGTTGGCATCTACATTTTGAAACAAGATATGTAATGAATCGTATTTTGTGTTTGTTTCCTACTTGTAATGTAATAAAGTGATTTCCAGTTTTATCAGCAACATAACGTGGCCGTCGAGAAGCGCCACTTTGTGGAAAATAATCACTTTTATATCGCGCTCTATATGTATCTTCTAATGGATGAACAATATGTAATTGATTTGGTGTTGGAACTGTAATAGCCACTGATGTGGACAATTCTATTGATGTACTGAAAAGATTTTTTGTTGGTACTAAAAATGAATGAATTTACAAGAAAAAAAAATAACTATGATATTTTTATTTTTGAAAAATACATTTTTCCATATGTGAACGAACTATTGGTAATGTTGGATCGCTTGGTTTAATCATGACCAAATGTTCATCAGTACTTTGTATTCCTACAGAAGAAATTAACTCTTAAGAAATTTTTGCGAACATATTACAAAAAATACTGATTTGCTCCTACATATCTAAAATCGATTATATAAATCAAAGAAATACCGAAGATCACGTTAGACTTCAACCAGCACCATGTAATTCAGTACCTGTAAACTCACGTAGAATTGTCGAAAGTTTTGCCAATTCTTTTTGCATAGCTCCATGTATAGCTCTGTGATTTCATATTATAATATAAATTTAATAAAGCTGAACATTTGGTCTTTAGTAAGATTAGAACTTCAGTAATAATCAAAATTTTCTAGTGCGACAATAGTTCTAGTATTCTATGCAACTTTACGAATTTTTGTTTAGTTTCACAGAGCTTCGAATGATTTTACGTATAGAGAGCCTATAAATTTTCACAGACATCTAAATCCATAAATTTCTTCTTTTCCACTTGATATAGAAGTATAGAGATGTTATGATACTAAGAGTATATGGGAAAGAGAGAATACCCTATAACAAAAGAAAATGAGAAGATTGTAAAAGTTAGAATCTGCATAAAAGCGTAGCCCGTATATATATATATATAAGAGTGCTGTAACCAAACAGTTACATTAATGCAGAACATGTCATTAAATAAAACAAAAAAGAGAACATACGATCAGCCATGTCATTTGATTCTATTGGAGATAACAAATCTGTATCATCTTTTAATAATTCACTTATATCCTCGATAAGAGGACTAGAAGCTATTTAAAAAAAAAATACTTTATTTTCTTTCAATTAAATGTATAAAACTAACCAGGAGATCGTTCCATTGTTTTAAAATCATTTAGCAAATCTTTGAAAATTTCATCTGGACATAGTATCATATTTAAGTCTTAATAAAAAAATAAAATAAAAACATTTTTTATTGTTTTTTTGTCATGTTTATTAACCTGCAATATCAATCTCACAAAATGATTCCCATGTATTATAATCATAACGAACGCGAGTTCCTAAATCATTAACAAAATATTTATATATATTATTAAAAAATATAATGATAACATTATACTTATATTACCGATTTCCTCAGTTGACACTGATGATTGAATGACATCTTCAAAAACATATATGTGAATTTGAGAACTAGTTATACATATACATATATATATATATTATTTGATACATACTAGGTGCCAGAATCAAATCAAGATTGTCCATTGGTCCAAGGTTGGATGTGCTGGCTGAAAAACAATAATTATAAAACACTACTTGATTAATCATTCGTGTTTACTTGGTTGTTCCATGCAGTTTGTATTTATGATGTTTGACAAAATAGTGATCTAGACAATAATATGTCATGAACCACTAGTAGTGGTTGCAAGCAAATACAAATCTATAAATATAGCAAATGCATTTTGATTATTGAAAGAGAATATAAGAATATATATGTAACCTTTTTTTATACAAGGAAAAGCAACTACATGGACACAACCACGCGCTGTTAATTAATGAAGTCGAAAAAAAAACGTTCGGATTAGTTATTAAGGTAGCACATTTTTTCATGATAATTGTTAAACAAGAAGGCAGAAGAAAAGTATTTACTTATGTATTTACTAGGTATTTTTTGTTCTTCTTCTTACCTTCATAAATGTTTTTTTCCCGACTCTTGGTTTTTTCCAACTTTAACTGCATGCTCTTATTCTTCCTCTCTTTTTTTTCTTTTATCCTCTCATTTTCACAAGGCTATTTCTGTTCTGTTCTCTTTTTTATGACACATTTGTCATAACAACGTACATTGATAAGAGCAAAAGACCCAAGTGCAAATAGGATGCCAAAGGACGAAATGTATATATATAAATATGTACATGGCAAAGCAAGAAAAAAAGCGTTACGCGAACGCCTATGTAAGTCAAAAAAACGTAATGACATAGAACGTAGATAAGAAAATGATTCAGAATATGAAGAAAAAAAACATTATTAAAAAAAATGATTTCTCTTGTATAAATTATATGTGTATATTTTATTGGCCAAAACTAATAGCACGTGAAATGAATTCAATGTAGTAAAAGGGAAAAAAAGCACTGGGTAATTATTGAATCATTGCATGAAATAAACGAAATCAAAACAAAAAGACAAAATAAATATTTATAAATCTTGATTACTGCATTCTTAAAACAAAAAAATAGTTATAACACGACGAAATACGTTGTGTCGCGGATGAGGCCATTCTGCAACGACAGTTATGAACTGCCTACAGATGAATCTTTGGCTCGATTTATTTTACAATTAGATTTGCAAGTCGACTAGAAAAAAAATAAAAAATAATATTACCAAATTTTGTATGATAATCATTTTTCATATTTAATATTCTTTGGTTTTAGTTTTTTATAATAAATGACAAATAACTTTTAGGATACTTCGTAGAATTAATATATATATATATATTCAACTAAGGAGCATATTAGGTTATATTTTCTTTCATCAATTAAACCCTATGGATTTATAAAGAGATTAGCAGGGATAGTTTAATCATTACAATCGAATATCTCATTCATTCTAAAGGTTTTGCATCATAGATGGAAATATCTTCTCTAGCAATAGATAATATGAAATGGGATAAAGATAAATGATATCATAGAACTCCGCAATTACTCTGCAAAATTATTACTGAAACAAAATCTTTCTTTTTTAACTTTCCTAATTACACGGATTGTAATATTTGTCAAGATTCCAGCTAAAGAATCATTAGAAAAAGGGCACTCTCCATGTCTTTTGTCCGGCTGTTGTGATATATGTAATTAGTATAGTAAAATTTGAGATTTCTAAATGAAGAATCCACGAGAAATTCAATGTATTCTGTTTTTGTGCCATGCTTTTCAAGTTAATATGATTATCATATTTTTCGCTCTGTAGTTCTTTTAGTACCTTTAGTCTCTTTTCATGCATTTAGATTCTTCACTCCCTCTAATATCATTAGTCCTTTCAGTCTCTTTAATTATTTTGAGTATGAGTTCATGTGCGTGTGCATAGATAGCCGTGTTTCTTTCATCCACAGCGACACTCAAAAGAAGCTAAAGGGCTTAAAACGAACAAAATATTCTAACAACTTTAAATGGGCTACATGAAGAGTTGAGTTTGCGGCAGTTGAATCCCGACAGATGAACCTTTCGACAGTTGAGCTCCTGGGTAGAACCCTTAACATTTGAGCCTTTCATATGTAGTTTTGATCAAAATAAATCATATACTATATGATTTATTGTTCACTAAGATTAGATAAAATATTATATAATGATATATACACCTAATTAATCACTCTCCTCGATTATTACATCAATGACTCTTTTTACAGAAAGAAAAAGAATTCTCAGTATTCGATCAGTTATTCACGGAAGAAATAATACATATCTTGAAACAAAGAAAACGTGGTCAATCATTCTTGATAGATCTTTTCCTAAGTATGTTAACGATACAATCATCAAAAGATAAAAATCAACCTCTTGTTGATAGTTTTCGATGCCGAGTAGCAAATAATAGTTCAAAAACGTGGCGATGGGCATTGATGGAGAGAAAACTAATACATAAAGCCATAATCGCACAGCCACATTTCAAAGCTCAAATGTTGAGGCTCAACCGTCGCATAATTAACTGTTTTGTCATCCGTCAAAAAAAGGTGTCAGCGTAAAAGTGGAAGAAAAAAATTTACCGAGTGTCGAATTCTTGTTGATGTTGATGAGTTCGATTTCTTAGAACGATTTTTCATCGACTTACAAATGCTGCCCTTTCTTTTCTTGATCATCTTATTGTTTGATGAAGCTTTTCGTTTGACACCTTTTTTTGCTGTTTTTTCTATTAATTAAATATAATCATTTAGATTGATAACGACATACTCTAGTGTAATATACTTACGCTCATTAACTATTTCTGTTTCACATTTAATATTTGAAATCATAAAAACATCATCTTGTTTCAATGCTAACTGAAAGATAATCTTATAACAAAGTAGATCATAATCAATAGTGAATTGTTTTCCTTTTGCTACTTTGCCAATATCATCTTCATTGATAAGTGTATCTATAATTGACAAGCACGAATTAATTAAAAATCAGAAACAAAAAAAAACTCAAATCAAAATACAAACATTTTTCTGTAGTTCTTTCTACAGTTAATCCATCAAATGATGTTAAGTCAAATGTGTAATCTTCTAATCTTTTACAAATAATAGACAATCGTGGAAATCTGAAAGATAGGAATTGTATATTGAGAAATAATACTCTAGTCAATGTTTACTTACTTTTTTTCGCATTTTAGTATATCCGATTTAGTTAATGGAAGAAAAATACTTCCATATCCTATTTCTATTGCATCTTCAGTACGATATTTGATACCGTTGGCATGTACAAATGTTTTATTTTTTGGATTTTTTGTTGATGTTACCATTGTTAAAATGATTCCAAATGATGCTTTTTCAGTCAATGTTGCTGATGATAAATCCGGCAACTATGTAATGTAAATAAGCAGATTTAATTGATAAGATATTTATATATAAATAATATCTTAAAAACAAACCTGAATAGACATTGGATGTTTTTTTGAATCAGGTAAAAAGCGTAGACCATCACTTTCATAACGAGCACGTTGATCTGGTTTTGGTTGTTCTTTGACAGTCATTATATCATCAATAAAAGCAAATGGATTTGTATTTATCTCGAAACTCGTTGATTCCTGAGTTTCGCTCACATTTTGTTGATTACCATCCTGTGAAACAATCTTATATAAAACAAATAGAAATTAATAATCTTTTTTGCTTTATATAGAAAATGAAATATAACTTACTGTTTCTTCAGGTAAATTATCGTCTAAAATTTGGTCATATTCGTCTCCTATAAATGGTTCATTGTTTATGATAGCATCAATGTCCGATTGAATATCTATAGTAGAAATTTAAACAAAATTGTAGATAATCTTAAAAATAGTTATCATAATTTTTACCTGATGTAGAACCAATGAAATCCATTGAAACAATTGAACCTGACAATATTTCATAGATTAAATAAAAATAAAATAAAGTCATTGTAATAATCAAAACATACTTTGATGATTATCCAACTGATCATTATCAATATTTGCATTCCAGTACACATTTAACATTGGTGATAGATCCACACTATCGTTATTCAACACACCTAATTCAAGATGTTTAACTATTAATTTGAAAGAATTTACTGAATAAATCTTACCATTGCTGAATTTAAACTCGGAAAAAGTACTTGCTGGATCTTTATCATCGAATAAGTCTTTTATATATGGACTAATATCAATATTGTCCATGAAAGTTACTATAAGAGTTGCAAGAAAAAAAAAAGAAATTCAAAATATTCGTAAACAATTTTGAAAAACTATTCACATACATTCATCTACTTGATTCCACATGAAATTATTTTGTGTATAATATTATAGAAAAAAGACGTTATACTTGTTTCTTTCGAAATGGAAAATGATCTGCAAAAAGTTGTGTTCCTTCAGACAACAACATTTTTTTTCCATTGTGGGCAAGTAAAAATATGAAACGATACTCTTTTCTTTTTCAATGAGTCAGAAAAGCGAGAACTATTGGTAATTGAAGAGAAAGAAAAAAGAGGACTGGTTTAGACAGATGACGACAGAATACAAATACAATAATTGTTTGAAGTGAAAAAAAAGTTACATTTCAGTCATTTTGATTCGAAGTTTAGGCATGAAAAATTACCCATAATAATATCAACTCGCGTTTTGTTGAAGTAAAGATGTAAAAAGAAAAGAAAATATAAAGGGAAGAAACTTTATTATTAAAATAAAAGAACCCGGCCGGAGATTTCGTCTTAGAAATTTTTTCCAACAATGAGCAGGTGATGAGGTAAAAATTGACTTAAATAAAAAGGTAGTGAATATTTTGAAAGAATTTGAAAAACAACAACAAATTTTGATGAGTTTATTTATTTCGAAATAAGTATAAAATTAGAAGAAAACATTATAAATATCCATCTACTTGAAGAATTTCATCATCAACATTACTTAGCTAGGAAAGAAAATGATGCAATGATATGAGTGTATTATTGAGTAGAAATATTTCATAATACTTTAGATAAGGTTATTTTTACTGTGTAAACCGAAATCACTTTTTTTTGTTTTGTAATCCTCAAAATATATATTGTGTTATACAGAGATTATTGTAAATTTATTTTCAGCTTGTTTATTTCTTTGAATAAATAGATTACAAGTAAAAGACAAAAGCAAAAAACAAAAGAATAATTATATTATTAATTTCTTGATTAAAATATTAAAAAATAATCAGCTGCGGATGAGGGCTTCAGCAAGAATAGTTTTACATTAACATATTCTTTGCTGATCTTTTGGATCGTAGCCTCTTGTTTATTATTCAAAGTTGTAAATGATGTTCAAACGTCTGTAATCACATGTGTTTCACAATGAATAGGCGTCATGTACCATTTATCCTTTTGCTTTATAATTAATTGAGAAACAATTTGATAATTATTTGTATGATACTCTCGATCAAAGAGTTTTGCTTTTTGTACTTTTGTCATATGTTCTTCATTTAGCAGTGTATCTAAATAAATATTTTTAGTCAAAATAAAAACAATACAAAAAACTGATGAACATACAAGATTCGACATGATTATCTTCCATCAAAGGATCGAACGGAATTAATTGAAATGTATAATCATTAAGTCTTGTTTTAATTATGGATAAATGTCGAAATCTAGAATTATGAATATATATATATAATAAATTGCAAAGAATGTATTTGTCTCTTACGTTTTTTTTCGTCGACGAATATCTTCATCTCTTAATTGAACACGAAATGATCCTAAACCATTTTGTTGTACATTTTCTTCATTATTAATCATTTCATATGGATGAAGAAATCTTTTTCGTTGTAGATTTTGTTGTGTAGTGATCATTGTAAGTTCAAGCCAAAATGATTGTTCTGCTTTTGTTAGACATCCGCTTAATATAGGTAACTATAAAAGAAAAATGAAATTATAAAATCTAACTAAGTAAAACAAGATACAACTTTAATACACATTGGATTGCGACGAGATTGTTCTAAATAACGAATTCCATCCGTACAATAACGAAAACGGTGTTTTCTAACCGGTTGTGTATGCATTTGCATGATTGGATTATCATAGCTATATATTGCATTTACAATAGCTTGAACATCCATTGTATCAGATTCTTGATTGATTATTCCATTCTGTAGCTGAAATAAAAATATGAAGTTATTGTTTTTTAATGAAACAACAATGAACAATTAATGAACATTATTTACCATGCTTTCTGTCTCTCCTTCTTCCCCGTGTGTAATCATTGACTGATATGAATTATTTTCTATGCTATCGTCATTAACTTGAATATCTTGAAAACAACAAATTTTATTCTTTCGAATTCAAATGCAAATAGTGAAGTAATAACAAACCTAATGGTACATATTGAACTTCTTCATTTTTATTTTGACTTAGAACGGCTAGTTCTAAAACTTGACAAATAAATTCATATAGAATACTGTTTTTCATTAATCTTTGACTTTCTTATCAATAGAAAATTGAATTCAAAAGATATTTTACGAAAAGAATTTTAAAATGAAAAGTGTAATCAACACAAAACGTTTTTTTCTCTTCGTTGTATTTTCTAGTGCATAGAGAACATTAGACACTATTTGAAAATATACCTTGATCAATAGACATTGAAAGAGGCTCTTGAAAATCTGCAACAGATATGTCTAAAAAATAAAAATTATACCAAATTATAATCAATTTACATAGAAAACTTACTATTGTTATCATTGAAGTGTTGTTCTTGTGTCAATTGAATCGATGGATTAGTCATTTCAAATGTTGGCGTATTTAACACTCCAATACCTAAAATAATATAACTTGCATTATTTTCAATAGTATTCCATAATGATATTTACTTTCACTGAGATTTAAGTTTTCATATTCATTATGAAAACCATTTGGAGAATATAAAACTTGATCAAAATCAATGAAATCATTTGTTGTTTCATTCTCCAAAACTAAAGTATAAAATAAATGAAGTTCTTTTAAAAGACTGATAGAATAGCTAAGCTTACGATTGCCTGACTGAGAAGCCATATTCATCATTTCACTATATAACAACGTGAATCTAAAATAATATAAAAAGTTTTCTGACACCAGTTTAGTAATATTTAATAAAAGAATCAGTAAGCAAATTGACTGCGAATAATGCATCGATTACTCTGCCACTTTTTTCATAGAATGCTTCATTTCTACTATTCTCTTTTCATAGTTATCTGACGCCAGGTGAGAAAGAAAGAATGAAGTAAAAAAAGAAAAAAACCTTTTTCTTTTATAATTTTATTTATTCATAGAGCATCGAAAATATAGATGTCTCATTTTGTTTTTTGAAATCTTAATTATTAATAATAATTATTTAATTTATCTCCGTTAACAATTGTAATATTAAATAACAAACAAATAATCAAATTTGCAATTTTATCAATGAATGAGAATATGTCTAAGATATTTTCTTATTGACATATTTTTGAAAAATTCACAAAAATAATAAAAAACAGAACCATTGATTGTTCCAAGTCTCTTTTTTTGAATTATATTATTAAAAATTCAATTATATTCATTGAAAATATGATAGCAATAAACTATTATTTTATTTCTTTGACAAATTCTTGACTACATATTTTGATTAAAAAATATATCAAAACAAAAAATATAACTTTAAAAGAAAATAACAAACAGAAAAGAATTCAGAAATAACAACATCAAACTAAACAGTAAATGAGATCCAGTCAACATTATATTCTATTGTAATGTAGTTTTGTAGAAATTAGTTTTGTGATTTTTTAATTCGTTTTACCTAAAAAGAATAATCAAAAGACAATTAAATTTTTTATGAAAAATAAAAGATGAAATTTTACCAGTAAACCTTTCATTAATGGTAGAGATCGTTTTTGTTTCTTTGGTAAACTTCGACAATGAACTGAATAGTCATCGTCATCGTCATCATCATCATCTCTGACATTAGAAGATTTTGATCGCTTATTTGGTTTTTTGGGTTTTTCTACTGAAAAGAAAACAGCAAAAATGATATTTATTTGAAAAGTAGATTTTTGTTTTTTGATTAATTACTTTCTTTCATAATATCTGTTTCACATACAATATTTGTCATATGCCACGTCTCGTTTTGTTTAATAAGTAATTGACAAACAATACGACCTGATTTTAAATCGTATGTATCACGAAAACATTTTGCTTTTTTAATGAGTGATTTTACATTTTCATTTTCATCTATGACATTAAAGAAAATATTTGATTATTATCAAAAAACATAATGGTGTGCAAAGTCAACATACATATTTCAACTGAATTATCTATTGATAACTGATTGAATGGTATTAATTTAAATGTATATGCATCTAATTTTTCTTTGATGATTGATATACGAGCTAATCTAAAATTGAGATTAGATTTGTATATTAGAGAAAAAATATTTCTTACTGCTTTATTTCTCTTTGAATATCTGTTGGAGTTAATGGAATCCGTACAAATCCATGGTCACATTCTGGTAAATCATTTGCATGATATTCTATTTGATCAATATGAATGAACACTTTATTTGCAGGATTCTCTTGGGTAGTTATTAATATTAACTCAAGCCAAAATGATTGATTTGAATTTAATGTACAATTTTTTAAGTTTGGCAACTAAAAGATAAATTATGAAACAAAATCGATTGTAAGAGAAAAAACATGTCGATCATACTTTGATTGTTATCGGTTTTGAGCGAGATTTTTCAATCTGACGTTTTCCATCACTTCGATATCGTCGACGAATGTTGGTTGGTGGTTGATTATCAACGCTCATTATTCGATCTTGAATTGATTGATCGATATTTGCCAATTCGATCTTATCTATTTCTTTTTGTAACCAATCATTCGTTTCATTGCATGGCTACAATCAGAATTTTACAGTGAAACTTTACTATTAATACAAAGTCAATACTAACCAAGTCGAAGAAATTAAATTCTGTATTTTTTATTAATTCTTCAAGATTGTATTCAATATCTGAAAACAATTTAATTCATGAATTATATAGCGAAATATGACTTATAACGAACCAGATGCAGTTAAAAGACTTTTGCCAATATCATTGAAATCTATATTTAATAAAAATAGGTCATTTAAACATATATCATATTGAAGTACCTTCGGTATTAGATGATAGACTAATATTTGATGAGGATGGTGCTGTTGACTCGTCATTAACGATATCTGTTACTGAATAAACAACCAACATTTTTTAAAAACTACATTTCATAGAAAAAGTAAATCCTTACTTCGACTAAAAGTAACTTTTGTTATGGAATTTTGAATAATATTTTCATAGTATTGAGAAGTCTCAATACTACTATAGTCACATAAATTGAAAAGATCTTCGCATTCTAAAATAAATAAAAATGAGAAAAAGATGACATTGAAAAACTATTTCAATTTACCCTCTTGTGGTTGAAGAGCCATATTTCAATATTTCATATCTATAATAAGAAGCAATAGGCATTATTAAATTTGTTTAATTGCTAGCAAGAACTACAAAAATCGCTTATGACAATAATGTATAAATTTTTATTGATACTTGCCAAATCGGTATTTTTTACGTAAGAACGCAAAGAAGTGATTGGTAAGAAAAAAACTCTTATGGTATTTTATTAAAGAACACAATATAGGTGTCTCACATACTACAAAAAACAATGTTTGATAAACCAAATAATATTGTTTTTCACCTACGTATGTTATAAAACATTGATTCTCAAACAAAAACAATTTTCCGAATACTTATTTTTAAGTATTTGTTTCTTGCAAAGTTTAATACAGTCTAAAAAAGAGTAATAATTCTTTCTTTTCGATAAAAAACTCCCAATAAGAACAAAGAACATCGATAGCAATTCACAATAATTACTGAATTATTCGTTGAATATTTATACTAACCTACGATATATAAGTATCCGCATAAATGTCAAGGTCTGCTTTGTTCGAGCAGAACATGCTAGAAGTCGTCTAACTTTTTCACTCACAAATAGAGCAACGTATATACTTTGAAATACATATTCAACATAAAATTTAGAAAGTAATTTAAGATATTAAATTTTAATGTTCTTAAAATTATTAGAAATGACTTGTTATGCTGATAAAATAATAAATGCGTTCATATCTTGATTGTGTGTTTGCTTTAATACCTTCAAATGGGACATAATTTTGAATAACTATATAGCTATAATTGGAAAAGGTTTAACTCAAGTGTAATTTTATATGCAATTTCTGTTTCGCTATTTATGAGCACACTACAATGTATTGTTCTAATCTTTCACGCATATTCTTGTAGGATTCAAAAAGTTGCATAATATCTTGGACATCTACAAAAGTCTGTGTTCTTACAAACAGGGATGCACGAATTCTTAGACGATTTCAAAGATCATATTTTTCTTCCTTACTCAGAATGTAGTTCCTGTGGATTGTTTTTATTAACAATCATCACTTTTGTTTTGTTCTATCTGATGCTGTAGCAAAAATCCATGAGATACACAACGAAGGTTTCGGAACCGGTTTGGTATTGCTTGAAAATCCACATTTTTCTTAGATTTTTTCGACCGATTCCAATTGATTTTCAGACCTATGTGTTGCAAACGACAGAAGTTAAGAATAACTCCAGAAAGAGCGTTCAAAATCAAAACTGATCACAACTGACATGAAGAGTCACTACGAGCTCGGTAAATCTCAATACTGGTGTGAGATCTTAATCCCATGTATACATATGTCCTAGACAAAATTGAACTTTAGGCAAAATTAAACTTAGGCAATATTGATTTGTAGTTAGGCGCGAAATGAAGAAATTATTTTCTTTCATATGAAAATGAATTCAAGTTTTCATTTTGATTAAGAAAACAGAATGCACTTAGTTTTTTAACTAAATAAACTTATTATGTTCATTTCTCACCGATTCATACTCTTTGGAAGTAATCCAACACCAGATTCTGCTTTGTTTCCAGTGCCTCTTTATCCACAGATTTGTAAACAAATCATAAAAATACCTCACGACAAATACGATCGATAACGTGAAATAAATTGCTAACAAGTCTTTATAACTAGTTGCATTATTTTTACATTAATATCTTAAAATCCTACTGTGTGTGGTGAACTGTAGGATTGAGTATTGATGTCTTTTTAGCATAATATCGTCTTGCATAATCAAAACTGTGTCTTCTCTTCATTAAATTCAACTAATCTAGAAATAGTCACACATGAGGGAACAAAAAAAAAAGAAGATCAGAAGTTCAGAAAGATGTCATACAAGCGAAGTATAACGACTAATGACCGTTACCTTGGATAAGAGAAATACTTATCTAGCAGATTTGTGGCAATCCATAAGCGTCTTCACTACCCTCTGCTCGAAANGAAACTAAACTGTTAAATGTCTTCTACATCTGGTAATTTACCGGTTCCCCGGTTCCTTGAAATAATTTTGGAACCGAACCGGAACCGCTTTTTTTCAAACTTGGGAACCGGAACCGGAACCGCGGTTCCGGTTCTCGGTTCGGTTCCCGGTTCTTTTTTGGAACCGCAGACCCCTAGTCACCAACTGTTCAATCGCTTTTGAGTCGGAACTATGTGCGACATGTACACCCTAATGAGCTATGAATACCCTGAAAAGAGTTCGGGCAGCTAGGTTATTACTGTCGAGATTTTGCATTTCTGTGGTATTTTTAATTAAGTACAATGCCGTGGTCCCCTCAGCAACCAGAAAAACTGACTTTCGAGTTTCGACTTGAAATTTTGCACAGCAACAGGCTTCAATGAGAGTAGTTTATTGAGAAAGTTTCAGGTATTTTGGTTGTTCCTGTTCCAAAATAAGAATATCGGAATCTGTCCGTGTAGCGATGTAAAAAAACCCGCTTTTATCATAGCCGTAACCTAGAATAGGAACAACCAAAAGACCTACAACTTTCGCAGTAAACTACTCTCAATGAAGCCTGTTTCTGCGCAAAGTTTAAGTCGAAATTTGAAACTCAGTTTTTTGGTATTCGTGACGTAGACAACGGCATTGCGCTTAAAAACACAGCAAAAAAGCATTATCTCGACCGTAATAAACAAGCTACCCGAACTCTTTTCAGGCTATTTATAGCTCATTAGAGCCTACATGTCGCACATAGTTCCGACCCAAAAGTGATTAAACAGTTGGAGATCTTCCCTCGTAAGCATACTATTCGATAATTCTTGATCATTTGAGTCAGAGCCAATTCCTGATGAAAAAGATGATGGAGTTTCTATATCTAAAATGACATAATTATTTTCTATTATATCTATTAAAACATACTTACTGATGTCAGATGAAACAAAGAAAGGACTGGTTGTCAAAGCTAAATCTGCAAGGAAAAAAAATAGATACTTGTGCAAAATGGATTGATTTTTGCAGACCTTCAGTAAAATTCAAAGAATCAGAAAGTAGAAAATTCTGAAGACCATATGACCCTAAAATAGAATAATAAAATATAGGGAAAAAAATTGTTTACTTCTCATACCATTTAATAAATCATCAAGAATTTGATCTGATGAATTTAACATATTTTTTATGTTGAATAAAGTCTAAAACAAGATAATACTATCAAATGAACTTTATCAGCAGTGCAAGTCATCTCAAATATGTGTGATATCATATGTGGTTATCAAATGTTGTTATTCTTATTGATAAAAGAAAGAAATTTTTTTCAATAGACTCTTGGTTATACAACGTCTTTATTTAGAAAAAATTCATAAAAAAAAAGAAATAAAGCAAAAACAACTAAAATCAAATCTTTTATATTAAAAATCAAATATTTTCTTTTTCAGCATCGGTCGAAAACTGCAAAATATCAATACAATGAGTATTGCCATGAGATTGTGCAATTTCGATTGGTGTTTGACAGAGTTTATTCTTTCCAACTAAAAGCATTTCTTTTGTGTCATTGGGTAAAATTTTAAAAATATTTTTAATCACTTCTGCACCTTCATCATCATGTAAATTTGCAAGTAAATGTAATAAATTATTTCCATTTTTATCTTTGTGTTTAACAAGATCAGATCGATTTTTGATAATAGGTTCAATTAATTTCCATTGATTACATTTAGCTGCAATTAATAATGGTGTTTCACCATTTTCATTTTCTTTTTCTAATAATCCTTGTGATGAACTCATATCAAGAACTTGTTCAATAAGTGCTAATGCTATTTGTGTATGTCCACGTTGAATAGCATCATTCAATAGAGGTGGATTTTCATCACATTGAGATAATAACATACGTGTTCGACGAAATAATCGAGAAGGATCGTTCGTACGAATAAATTTACTTAAAGCAGCTTTTAATTGATTGAGATATTTATCAAATTTCAAATGTTTTTCTGAAGAGAGAAAACAATATATATGTATATAGAAATAGATATTGTTTACAAATTAATATACCATTCGATGAAATTGGAATATGAGATGAAATAGTTTTCTACAATAATTAATTAAGATAAAAAGTCTATAAAGAAAATAAACTAACCTCTGCCATAGATAATTGTTCCATATGTGACACAAGACTTTGTGCATCATCATTCTCAAAAAATTCATATCTTCTCTTATTACTTGTATGGTTAACGTTCATATTATTTTGACAATATGTACATAGATTGATTGTTGTTTTCATTGCTAAAATAAGTGAAAAATACTATATTTATTGATTTTCTTGGTTTTTTATTTTCATGGCATACGTGTCACATAATAAAAGTCAATTGAAGATAGAAGTAAATTATTGTGTATAATATCAACCGATACTTTAATATTTTCATTGCTTGGTGGTATTCGACATGGTGGTGTTCGAAATAAAATTACTTTTTTATCAATGTATGTTATTTCATTAATAGTTTGTTTTCCAAGTAGACCGAAATCGAAACAAATTGTATATTCTGACAAAAAAAATAAGAAGAAAACGAAAATAAATATGAATTCGAAGGGTTTTAATTCTATAAACCTTTTCGTTTGGTTGGCTTAGGCATAATAATTAATATTTCATCACCACCTTGCCAATCTCCTTTTTGTGGTATACATTTAATCGGGTTATTCGATTTAGCATTTGAAGCATTCATTGATGAATCTTCAAAAACGAAATTTTTTTTTAAGTATTTTTTGTTTCAATGAAAACTAACTCTTTCCATCAGTTACTTCATCAATCATAATTTGAGATTCGATAGACGTATGAATTATTGGAATAGGGAAATTAATTTTGCCATGTCGTTCAGCAATAGTAAAAATAAATTGAGATTTCCATAATTGATATATAGTTATCTTGCTTTTAGCATCTTCTGAATTTAGAATTCGTTGTGTATCAGGCTGATCTAAAGTAAATAAAAAATTACTTGGTAATACATGATTATTATTAAATATTTTCTCACTTGAACTAAATAAACGAAGAGGTCCATACTTTTTTAAATCATTTTGAATCATTTTTTTTCGACTAATTTGAAAACTAAAATTATAAAATTAAAAAGAAAACACACTTATTACAACTACCCTTGATTTTCTTGTACCTTTTTTCACCTTTACGAAATTCATCTTCATTAATACGAAAATAAAGCGAATTATTCTCTGGATCTTTAATAACATTATTTTCTTGTGTATCAATTTCATAAGGATGTATACAATGATAAGGTACAAGTTCGTTTAGTATAGTAACTGATGTAACTTGAATATATATTTGTCGTGTTGGATCACACCATTTGTTTGGAATCTGTAGAAAAAAAGCAAGAAAAACTAATGAATTTGAAAGATATAAATGAATATAAAATACTTTAACAGTTGGATATTCATATTTCAGTTGATTGTCTTCTGCACGAATAAAACGTTGAGCTCGACTCTTTGTTGGATCAACTTCACAAGAATATCTATCGCGATAAAATGCTTTAGGTTCAGCTATAATAAGAAGTTTTTCATCTTCGGGTTCCAATGTCGTATTGCATCGAATATTTGTATTCGATAATAAACTTCGAGCATTAGTTTTCACGAAAGTTGCTTCAAAATCATTACTGCTTGGTAAAGTTGTTCCAAGATTATAAAACGAAGAAGTACGTTGATATTTATTAGTGTTGAAACTATTTTGATGATTTTCAAATGGAAACGTTTTAGAAAGCGTTTTTGATTCTAATGGGGAACCTAAACTGTAATGATAAGATGCATCGACACCAGTAGGTGTAGAAATTTTATCTATATTGTAAAATACAAAAAGTAAATAAACTTGAAAAGTCATATTTACTACAATCGAAAACATCCGGTAGACCTGGAAAAAAACGCAAGATCAAATAATGAAATAGTTTTGTTTTGAATTATAAGAAAACTTACTGAGCATTTGATTTAGTACTTCAATTGATGGTGAAGGAAGTTCTTCATTAGGATCTAATTTTATGAATAAAATAATAATAAATTTTTGTCTCATTGAAAAGATTCTTACCATAAACACTCTCATTTGACATTGCATTCACTGTCTAATTATTATTCGAGAAGAATTAAAACAGATGATATATTAAATTTTATTTGATATTAGTGGAGTTTTATAAACATCTAGTGACTTATGATTTAAGAAGGTTTCTATTTTCTCGATCAATAATTTGTAGATTTCTCATTTAAGGATATGCTTCGAAGTATTCTCTATCTACTGGACATTTTTCAAAAATAAATATATAGGTATAAAAGCAGAAAAGATACAACGGCATGATTGAATAGCATCAAAATTTACACATCATTTCGCTTTTTTTGATGAGTTTGTCTTTTAATTGAAAAAAGGGAGGAGAATTGCCCACGTTTCTCGAGAGCAGTACATCTGATTGAGCTGAAAGTTTCTTCTCCTTACACTAGAAAGTGTTTGGATTGCGTATTTTTCTTTTCTTTTCAAATGTGATGCATTGCTGATTTTTTCCAAGGTTTCAAAAAACAAAGCTCCAGCTTAAAAACTTCGCAAAAACATGAATCTACGGTTGCTCTCAAGATTTCGTTGTTTTTATTCGAACGGAATGAGATAAAAAGAAACCAAAAAAGTATTAGGTAATCAAAAAAGTATTTATTATGGCATCTATAAAAAACAATTTTACTCCTATTCGACTCATTCTGATTGAGAACAGGAATAGCCATAATAGTAGATAATTTTTTCTCTCTGTACAATCCCATCATCTTCTCCTACAGAAAAGCATTGAACAAGTTTGAGTATATGATACTCATCTAACTAAATCAATCCTTAAACTTTCAAAATTTTCTTATGAGTCATTCTCCAAAATTACTGCAAGTGTATGTGTGGGAAAATCCCCTTAACATTCTTTCCCTACCTTCTGTGATATAGCATCTTATATTTAAGGATAGATGTACTTAATTTTTACAAGCTTCCTCTGAAAGTCGTTGAAGCTTAAAGGTAAACTGACTTCTTGATCTTGTGAACACTAAAGAAAAACTATCACATGCTCAAGATTCTTACATTTTTGTGAAGTATGATTTTGAATTATTATTATTAGTCATGAAAACAGCGAAGAATCTAATAGCAGATCTCTCTAAAATATTTGTTCGCTTTCCCGTAATACTATTATAGTAGAAGGTTGACGGCGATTTCAAAAATGTGATGATGTAACGATATTTTACAACTGACAGAAAGAAAAGAAACAGACAAAAAAAAACAAGGTATTAGACCAATCGAATGAAAAAGTTTCTGTTGGAAGAAAAAGAGCTTTTTATCACAAGGGAAGTAAAACTTAAGAAGAAATTTCTTCGACTGACATGCTTTTAGTTTTCGAAGACAATAACACTTGTAAAAACAATTTTTTTTTTCGTCAAATGATTATTTTTATAATCTTTCTTTTATAAATGTGTTATTTTATTATAATATAAGAAGATTCCTTTGCTTAAGTACATGATGAGTTAATCTTCCTTCTGTTTATCTCACGTAATTCAAACTTATCAAACAATCATTTTCTTTTTCTTATTCATGCATGCATAGGTAATCATGTTCTAAGAAGTTGACGCCATAGCTTGCCTATGATTCATAAACATGACTGCTCGAAAAATTTACACATTCGAAAGATTGAATGGGTTTTTTCATTCTATGAATCAATAATAGTTAATGGAAGTTTCCGTCATCAATATGATTCGTTATTTGTATTTTCCAATAAATCAATTCATTATATGATAGAATAATATGTTAATCTATCATATCAAGTAAATCAGCAAGACACATTTATTCTCTAACTTTTCAAATGAAATATGAAAAGTTTAATTCTTTTATTCAATATTCGACGATATATATCAGAGATAGGATTGCTTCGGTTCCAAAAAGACACAAACAAATCCTATTCCTGATACATAATAGAAAGTGTCGTAGTTATTCTGTTGATTGAATACAGATAAATTATGTGCAATTTTTACAGAATTTTACAAAACAAAATTGTTAGCCATGTGTTTAATACATGAACTTAGTGTTTTATAAGATCTCGACTTAATTAGTTATCACAATATATTTGTATTAAGATAAAGATAATATTTCTTGAATAGTATGAGAAGATGTACTTGAGTTTTCATAACCTCCATACAAAATAACATATTTATTGTACGTTTTGACGGACAGAATAAGCGACTACGTCATTCCATGACATAATGGTAGACAGCATCATATGCTATACTCTAATTATACAGATGTCATATATGAAGACGATCAAACCAATTATTCATGTTAAATGAATAAATGATTATGGATATGTAGAAAGACATAGTATACCATAATGAGGGGAGTTCGAAGAGCATACTGTTGATAAGTTGTTACATTAATAAATCAATAATGTCTATCTCGATTAAGTTTATGACAACCTATATTTATGCCATGTATATTTTCTCATATGAAAACATTTATAGAAAATATTTTATAGCATAAATACGCAAGATCTGTCGTGAAAATGGAATATATAGGAGTATATATATATATTGCGGACTTTAGAGTCTAGTGTAAAAACTCGGTATGTGCATATCATAAATTATAAACATTAGCTATGAACAATAATTTCAAGTATTAATTGTAAATCTCTTTAATGAACACAAATAGCAATAAATACATGCTTTTTAGCAACACATAAATGATTAAATTATAACTAGCTTATGTTTCGCAATGATATCTCCTTATAAAATAACCAGAAAAAACGAGTATCTTGCTTATTCTATCCAAATATCGAACAGTCGTTATTCAAGATACTTTTATAGTTCATATATGTTCAAGTGATATTTTCAAACTGAGATACGTGATAAACTAAAAAAGTAGGATGTATTGAATATATTTCGAGTAATACCAGCTGGTAGAATACAAAGTCTTGCGCGTTGATAGATAAGTTCTATAGAAATAACATTAAATATAAGTTATGCGATTTTTTATATAAAAGAGAAAAATAGATCGAATGAAATATTAAGATTAATTCGCTTATTTAAATTAGCATCGATGTCAAATAATACGAATAAATTTTAAAAAATATCATTTTTCCTCGTCAAAAAATAGTCCGTGTTGCTGCTCTTTGAAGTATAAATCTCGAATTTCAACATATGAATTACGTCGAAAAAAAAAACAAGAGCTAATTAATTAGACGCAAAAATTTCATAATTATGTAAATGCAGTAAAGTTAAAAGAAGACTGAAATTTATATTTATGTTAATATTTTGAGACTATTTTCATATAATACAAATTCAACAATGAATCATCGTTCTTTTTATAAAAACGAATATTCCATTTCTTAAGTGCAATGCTACTTTCATATAAAAATTCTATAAATAAGAATCGGAGGATTGAGTCATCATTTATGAAAATATATGATTCAACAAACTGATTATTCACGAACTATATCAACTGTGTCGAAAATTTTTTCACATATGAAATTTTCATCACAAATATTTCCCACTATGAATCATTTAAAACAAGAAATGGATTATACGAAAATGTTACAAACATACTTATATTTACAATCATTTTGATTCTTTCTTAATAAGTGATTGGTCAATTACTATGAAAAGATGTTTTTTAAACTCATTTGTTCGTGCTTAAAATTATCGATAGACCTCAGAGATTATTAATACAGGCTTACCTAAATATCTTTTTTTGCAAAACCATAATGGGTGGTCCATAAATAATTAAACTTATAGTATTTTCAAAAATCTCTTCGCCTCTATTTTTCACTTGATTGAAACATCATTCTTTTTTATATCAAAAGATAGAGCTTGCAATTTTCTACGAAACCATACATGATACAATCAACAAATTGTTATTGACATGTTTGAAAAAAAAAGAAAAGTAAAGATATGACAAATTGTGATGGGTCCACAAAATCTATCGAGACTTATGTGGAGGGATTTTAAAGCGAATATTTAATTTATGGCTAAAAATGATCAACAATATTAACTCTATCGATTTATTCCACTATCTCAGTTTTTCACAATTCAGATAAAAGAAAAGTGAATGTCTCAAAGACGAAATGGTATCTACATTTTTCGACAAACCGAATGTTAGCAGAATGCTTTTAAATTTCACATGCTTTACCACAATGAAAAATGGGCTACAGATCATTTTTTTGTGCATTCATACCAAAAAACTATAAATCACCAAATCAACCTGATTTAAATTTGTTTATGGGATAAAGTGTCTCAAACTATGAATTACAATCATAAAACAATATTGATAGAATGAAATAAAATGTTCTGTCAAAAGAATTGTAAAAGGAAAAAAGATTTACATTTTGTATTTGATTTCAATGTACGATTAAATTTGATCCAAAATAAGAAGGAGACTATATTCATTAAATGAAGTATTCTATTATTTCAAGCGTTATATTACGATGAAAAGAACAATGGATAGAACAGCTGAATTTTATATATCATAATTGTTTTTTCAAATTTTATTAAATTAATACTCACTTTTGAGAACTCACATTTCAAACGATCATAATTTTTCGATAAATTTTTTTTTTTTTGTAAAATAATAATCGATATTGCATATCAAATGAAATCCATAGGTACGGTCAAAACCAGAGTCGTTAACAGTTCACAACACTAACTTTCTTCATACAATTCAAGTTAATATATGCATCTGTTGAAAAAAAGTAGAAACTATATAAATTAAAAATTAAAACTATTCTACCTGTAAATATGATTTACTCAGACAACTGTACTACTTAATCACAATACTTGTAAAATCATTATCTAAGGTTTGCGATGATAAAACATTATTGAACAAACTGTGAAAAAGTGATACATAGACTCGATGTGACATCATTCTACTTCGTCGAAGTTACCAAAAATCGTTATGCATCAAATTTTGATTTGTATTAATCGAAACAATTACCTGAAGAACAACATAAACGGACAATACGATGCACAAAAACGAAAAGAAAAAGAAAGAATCATCTTTTTACTCAAAATAAAAAAAAACACAAAAATGAATCTTGAGTAAATAGATATAGAT